TATTGTATAACATGCACCATATAATATAGACACATATATACTCATGGAAAGGCGCCTGATGACCCCAATTTTCCCATCGATGCCCCGCTCTCAGGTCCTTTGTCGGTACAGCTCAACTCATGCACTTGGGCGCCCTTTCAGTTCCGCTGTTAGATCTTGGTGACAGCGGTTGAGCCGCCATCCTTTTTTTTTTGGCGTCCCCATTTTTGAGTACAACCATATACTATCCGTCTTGCAGTGACAAGTTTCGACTGGAAAAGGCAAAAATAGAAAAATTGCAAACAAAAACAACCAACATGCGAAATGAAAAAAAAGGAAGCAACCTGGAACAGATACTGATTCACAAAAACCAATAAAAGAAAGAACCCACAATGTAAATAAGGGCAAATAAAACAAACTCAAATTGATCCTTTGCCTTGGCAGAAATTCTGATGTCCAATTGTCACTGTGAGTAGCTCGAACCTGGTGCACAAGGCAACAAACTCAGGGGGATGCTCATACAGTTCGTCAGTTTTGGACCATTCCTTGATGATCTTGATGTTGGTTACAGAGAAGAATGTTAGATTGGACTAACGGGACATGTGAGCATTTTAGAACCTGCCAAATTGCCCATGTTGTTTCCAACAGTTTTTATACAATTCCATAAACATGTTTCAAGGTTTTTCGTATTTTCTCTGTAGTTCCCGAGAGCGTCTGAGCGCAGGGTTCTTCCAATAGTGGGGGTCTGTATCTTATCTTCTCATCTTCACATCTTCTCATCTTCACATCTGTATCTCATCTTCTCATCTTCACATCTTCTCATCTTCACATCTGTTCATCTTCACATCTGCTCATCTTCACATCTGCTCATCTTCACATCTGCTCATCTTCACACCTTCTTTCACATCTGCTCATCTTCACATCTGCTCATCTTCACATCTTCTCTCACATCTGCTCATCTTCACATCTGCTCATCTTCACATCTGCTCATCTTCACACCTTCTCTCACATCTTCTCATCTTCACATCTGCTCATCTTCACATCTTCTCTCACATCTCTCTCACATCTACTCTCACATCTGCTCATCTTCACATCTTCTCTCACATCTTCTCTTACATATTCTCTCACATCTTGTCTCACATCTTCTCTCACATCTGCTCATCTTCACATCTTCTCTCACATCTGCTCATCTTCACATCTGCTCATCTTCACATCTTCTCTCACATCTGCTCATCTTCACATCTGCTCATCTTCACACCTTCTCTCACATCTGCTCATCTTCACATCTGCTCATCTTCACATCTGCTCATCTTCACATCTTCTCTCACATCTCTATCCTTTTTCTCTCTCTCGCCTTCTTTTTATCTTTCTCTCTTAAGGCCGAGGGTGGTGCCGGCGGCGAGTCACGAAACGCCAACCCTTTCGCACGAAATGAGGGTCGATCGGCAAAAACTGAGGTAAATTTGCGATTTGACTTGTCCCGGAGCAACCCTTTCGCGAAATGAGGGTCGATCGGCAAAAACTGAGGTAAAACTGCGATTTTACTTGTCCTGGAGCACCCCTTTCGCACGAAATGAGGGTCGATCGGCAAAAACTGAGGTAAAACTGCGATTTTACTTGTCCTGGAGCAACCCTTTTGCACGAAATGAGGGTCGATCGGCAAAAACTGAGGTAAAACTGCGATTTTACTTGTGCCGGAGCAACCCTTTCGCACGAAATGAGGGTCGATCGGCAAAAACTGAGGTAAAAGTGCAATTTTACTTGTGCCGTTCTTGTCTGTGTGTAAAAGTCCCTGTGTGTAAAAGCATCTGTGTGTCAAAGTGTTTGTGTGTAAAAGTCTCTGTGTGTAAAAGCGTCTGTGTGTCAAAGCGTCTGTGTGTCAAAGTGTCTGTGTGTAAAAGCGTCTGTGTGTAAAAGTGTTTGTGTGTAAAAGTGTTTGTGTTCAAGTGTTTCTGTGTAAAAGCCTCTGTGTGTAAATGTGTTTGTGTGTGAAAGCGTTTGCGTGTAAAAAGCGTCTGTGTGTAGAGGTTGTCTGTGTGTAAATGTGTTTGTGTGTGAAAGCGTTTGCGTGTAAAAAGCGTCTGTGTTTAGAGGTTGTCTGTGTGTAAAAGCGTCTGTGTGTCAAAGCGTTTGTGTGTAAAAGCGTCTGTGTGTAAAAGTGTTTGTATGTAAAAGCTTCTGTGTGTAAAAGTGTTTGTGTCAAAGTGTTTGTGTAAAAGTGTTTGTGTAAAAGCCTCTGTGTGTACATGTGATTGTGTGTGACAGCGTCTGTGTGTAAAAAGCGTCTGTGTGTAAAAGCGTCTGTGTGTCAAAGGGTTTGTGTGACAAATACATGGTACGAACTTCACCCCTCCGTCGAAATGCTGAGGTGGCCAGCAATGTCCGCCGCCTGCCAGACCCACGCTGGTTGGGGGGCCCCAAAGCACACCGCCCTCATGAGACAGGATACGAATTTCGCAGATCGAGGCAGTGGTAGTACCTGTTCATATTATATAGCATGGTAGTTGGATTTTACCTAAGGTCCGTGGAGGTGCCCAGATAAAGATCAACCGCGGTAGCCACTGATGTCAATTGAATTTGAAAATGAAGTGCATCAGCATGAGTCAACCAGAACTGTCTGAGACTTGTTGATGCACGCATCTTTGCTTGAGACATTCAGTTTCACCGTAGTGCATCCTGTCTCACTGTAGTGCATCGGCGTGCGTCAACACCTTTGTGAGCAGCTTAGTTATTTGATGTTTAACTTTGATTCTTGTATTGCAACCAGAACTGTCTGAGCATTGAATTTGAAAATGAAGTGCATCAGCATGAGTCAACCAGAACTGTCTGAGACTTGTTGATGCACGCATCTTTGCTTGAGACATTCAGTTTCACCGTAGTGCATCCTGTCTCACCGTAGTGCATCGGCGTGCGTCAACACCTTTGTGAGCAGCTTAGTTTAACTTTGATTCTTGTATTGCAACCAGAACTGTCTGAGCATTGAACTTGAAAATGAAGTGCATCAGCATGAGTCAACCAGAACTGTCTGAGACTTGCTGATGCACGCATCTTTGCTTGAGACATTCAGTTTCACCGTAGTGCATCCTGTCTCACCATAGTGTATCGGCGTGGGTCAAGCAGAACGGTCTGAGACTCCATAGAAGAGCAATAAAGCTGCCGATTCCTTTTGCGCGTATAGTTGTGCCGGGACATCGCTGAATGTGATCTGTCACAGTCATTAGTCATAGTCCTTGAATGCTTTGCGGGTCCGCATTGTTGGTCTGTGCAGCTAGGTTTGCATCGAGTCAGGGCCCCGGGATGGGATGGATTACCTGGATAAGCTGCTACCACAAAGAAACAAATCGATATATTTTAGATTGAGATAGAGATAGAGATATGATATAAAGATGGATGTATGACTTTTAATATATAGAGATGGATGTATGAGTGTTAAGATAAGAGTTTCCATTCCAGTCACAGTCAGGAGTCAGGACCCTAAACCCATAAAGAACCAACTTCTATCATATTGTAATACTGTGCGTGTCCCGGCCCAGAAACGGTCGCTGCCTGCCATGTCCGCCCGTTTATACCTTTTTTTCAGGAGATGGCAAACCACCTTGGTTGGGGGGCCCCAAAGCACATAGCCCGCATGACATGTTTATACATGCTGGTTACGAGGCACATGGAAATAGGACTTCACCACACCACCCCGTCGGATTGCTGAGGTCGCCACGACAACGATGACTTCGCTGTGACTACTTGGGCCGGCCTCTGTGTAAAAGCGTCTGTGTGTACAAGTGATTGTGTGTAAAAGCGCTTGTGTGTCAAGCCGTCTGTGTGTAAAAGCGTCTGTGTGTCAAAGTGTTTCTGCGTAAAAGTGTTTGTGTGTAAAAGCTTCTGTGTGTACAAGCGTCTGCGTGTAAAAGCGTCTGTGTGTAAAAGTGTTTGTGTGTAAAAGTGTTTGTGTGTAAAAGCGTTTGTGTGTAAAAGTGCCTGTGTGTAAAAGCGTCTATGTGTAAAAGCTTCTGTGTGTCAAAGCGTTTGTGTGTAAAAGCAGCTCCTGTCTGTAAAAAGGTCTGTGTGTAAAAGTGTCTGTGTGTAAACATGTCTGTGTGTAAAAGTGTCCGTGTAAAAGCGTCTGAAAGCAGCTCCTGTCTGTAAAAAGGTCTGTGTCTAAAAGTGTCTGTGTGTAAACATGTCTATGTGTAAAAGTGTCCGTGTAAAAGCGTCTGTGTGTCAAAGCGTCTGTGTGTAAAAGCGTCTGTGTGTAAAAGCGTCTGTGTGTAAAAGCGTCTGCGTGTAAAAGCGTCTGTGTGTAAAAGAGTTTCTGTGTAAAAGTGTTTGTGTGTAAAAGTGCCTGTGTGTAAAAGCGTCTATGTGTAAAAGCTTCTGTGTGTACAAGCATTTGTGTGTAAAAGCAACTCCTGTGTGTAAAAGGGTCTGTGTGTAAAAGTGTCTGTGTGTAAACGTATCTGTGTGTAAACGTGTCTGTGTAAAAGCTTCTGTATGTAAAAGCTTCTGTGGGTAAAAGCTTTCTGTGGAAAAGTGTCTGTGTAAAAGCTACTGTGTGTAAAAACTTCTCACTATTTGGTCTTGATACTCCTCTTCTCGACTGCCTATAACACATCTTTCATACATCGTTTCTAAAATTGCGTCTCCATACTAACAAGAGAAGACCCTGCTCCTCTACGCTCTCGGGCCATCCGTCGTCTAGTTTTTTTTTGCGTCAGGTTCCTTGCAGCACTGTTTGGGGTCTCTTGCAGGGATATTTTTGAAGGATGCTTTCACGATGGGGCAGTGTATTTTTCCAACTTGTTGCAATGCTCGCTGATATTGTCAACGGGCGATAAACATGAAAGGGAACCACATCATATGTTCAATTTGTTGAAGGTTTGGTTCGCAACATGGCCTTTGGCAAAACTGGTGGCCGGTAGCCACTTCCTTTGTAGACTTTGTGAGTCTGTTGTGGATTTTGGTGTTCATTGAATCTCTTTCATAAAACATGAAGGTGTGCTTGCCCAGTAGGTTTTGGAGGGGTAGGCATGAAGTGTCATGAGCCAGAGGTGGTACATTGGTACATGTGTTTTTTGCTTCAGGTGACCTGTGAGAACTTTGAGATTTCACAAGGCTGCAACCTATCCCAAGGCGTGATCTTTGCCGCTTGGCAAAGGCCCAGCGGTTCCTTTGTTTCTGGCGCCCAAGAGGTTCCAAGGATGTGCCCGAAATTGTGATGTTTTGAGTGAATTTGACGAAGTCAAACAAACAATTTTCGGGCAGCTACTTCTTCAGCGCTGTGTGGTCAAAGCTGGCACTCAATTTGTGATCCGGTGTGTTCTTTGGTGCCGCTGCGGGTGCCGCTGCAGGGTGCCGCTGCAAGGCGCGACTGTCAGAGTGCTGTTTGTGCTGTTCGTGCTGTTTGCGCTTTGGAGCTTGGTTGCTGGTGCCGCTGCAGGCTGCTGCTGCATTGTGCCGCTTCAGGGTGCTGCTGCTTTAGAGTGCTGCCACGGATTCTTTTTTGCTCCTGGCGTAAGTTTGGGTTCGAAAAGCAGTTGGCTAACCGGGACTCGGGCTCCACGTTTGCCCCCAGATAGCGAAGTTATTGGGGTTCTTACTTCAAGTATAGGATGAATTAATATGTGTGTTTTGGAGCGGGGATGTTGGCGCCGCTGCAGGGTGCTGCTCAGGTGCTGGTGTGCGCTTTGGAGGTGGTTTGGCGGTGCCGCTGTGCTGCAGGGTGCTTCAGGCAGTGGCATGTGCGCTTTCAAGTTGGCCTGCTGGTGCCGCTGCAGGGTGCTGCTTGAGGGTGGTCCTGTTAGAGTGGTGTGTGCGCTTTCAAACTGGCCAGTTGCCGCTGCAGGAGGCTACTGTAGCAGCCATCGTTAGTTCAAGAAAAATTCGGAAAAGGTAAAAGACTACAAGATTTATCTTGTCGGTATCCACCCAGACTTCATGTGAACGTGGTGTCGAAATATATCAATGGTACTTTGCATTATTTTAATGCTTTCTATGGTTGGCCGAGCTGGTTTGCGGGTGTCTCTTTGCCAGCGTCTGCTTTTTCTGCTTTTTTGCGGCAACCCTCCGCCTTTGCATCTGAGGACCGAGGCTGGCCCGTCCATGAGGATGTCGCGTCCACGTTTTGGACGAATGGTGCGGCGGATTGGGTGCAGCTCTCCGTCCGGCAGCCTAGTGAATTCACGCAGGCTTGTCGCACTTGGCACAGCTCTTCCTGGTGTCACGGTACTTCCATTTTGACCCTGCTTGGCAAGTTTTCCGGGGCCCATGCCCCAGGCCTTGGGACTTATCACTTGGTGGTTGGTCACTTGAAATGCAAAAAGATGAATTGTTCAACTTGCGCTTGTTGAATTTAAGCGTGCATCAGCGCATCAGTTTCGCAACCTTTGGGAATCGCAACGGATTAAAATTACCTGTATACTTTTGAGCAGAAATTGGATGGGCTTGGTGTCGTGAATTCAAGGTAAGCTATTTCGTGATGTTGTACGTGGCCATTCGTTCCTGGGTGTTTTGGTGGCAATGCTTAGCCCTGAGTAGGGTTGAAGTGACCATGAGGCCTCTGGGACGCCAATCCGCAAGCATCAAAAGATGCCATTGCACAAGGCGGTAGTTGCTGAGAGTTGGGATGTGGTGCAACATGACATGCCACATGCGTCCACTTGCTGCCATACCGTGCGATGCTGCCATTGTCTCCATCAGTTTGGTGCCTAGTGCCACACCGTGCCAGGTACTCTTCGCCATGCCGTGGGCATTGCTTTGGTGTCTGGGCGGTCATGGTGGCTCTTCCGAAAGGTCAAGTCGCAGTTGCAATCGATTTTGCCCAGGTGGTGTTGGCCTATTTTAGTGGGTGGGGCTCTCCTCGCCGTGGCGGTTGGTTTTATGGGCATGGGCCTCGGACCTGGCTTGCGCGGCCAAACACAAAAGTGACTGTAGCATATACCACACGATGTAAATATGCATATGGGTACAGGTTGGCTTTAAGTTTCATAGTTTTGTTTTGCTTTGACCCAGTTTTCTGCTGGTTTCTGCTTGACAGACAATCTGGGACATGCATTTTCCAGGCCGTATTGTCCATATGGAGAGGAACAAGATGCAGATCGCTTGACATTTTCGTATTGGTGCTTCCTGAGCTGTGCAGTCCTGCATGCCCTAGCTTCAGCCGGGCGGTGATATCAGCCGATGTTAGTCTTCACACACAGCGTTTGTGGCACAGCACTTGCTCCAGATTTTTTTTGTGCCCAGCGCAAAGGTTTTAAGTTTTTAAGTTGTGATGCGAAAGCGTTGTCATGTTGAGCCTTCCGTGTGACCTTGCTAGCCGGGCCCAAACTTCAGGTCACAATCTGCACGGTGGCGGCCATGTTTCATTCTGTGTGGGGCTTGGTCTGCCGCTGCAACTTCCGCCTGTGTGTGTGAACCATCTGAATAGATGTAAAACTATTAACGCTTTGTGTAGGAATATCTAGTATGCCACTACGGCGTCACGTTCTGTCAGTTTGCAAAGGTTCTTTCAGTTTGCAGGGGGGCTGGAGCAGATTTGCCTATCCAGTCCAACGAAGCTATGGCACGTCGGTGGATGAGTGGTCTGATCAACCACTTTTACCTGCATTTTTTCTCCGTCTGGTGGCAACCGGCTAAGCCAAGAACCGGCGTGTCGATTTGCCAAACATTTTTCAAACCAAACTCGAACTTTAGGACTTCCAATCGATGTCAGGTGGGAATGATTTGGCTCTACTGAAAGTACGTGTCATTCGGGAAGGGTCTGCTTCCATTTTTCATCTAGCACTGGCTGTGGCGATGGTAGCTTCCTGATTTTTCTCGGGCCGTTTCACCGACCCGTTCCTGTCAGGCGTAGCTGGATTGTTTGTTTGTTTGTGCGCGTAAGATGCACTCCACAACCGAATTCGGAACGACAGTTCTGAGCAAGTGTGTGACTCATGCTGGATTCGTCAAGGTGGCATGATCCCTTTGGGGAATACCTTTCTAGGTAGGAAGTTCGATCCTCCGACCTGATCTCTGAATTTACATTTCTCAACTCAGTAATTCGTGTAAGTAAAGTGAAACAGTCGGCCTTCTTTCACAGTTCCACCCGTCGATCAATGAGTTGAACAACTGGCCGCCGTGATTGGCATCACCATTTTTGGACTGAAGCTGCAAGGGTCGATAGCGTCAGCTACGCCAACCTCCTTTTCTGTAATGCTCGAGCATTCTTTAGCAAGCGACATGGCATGTTTCATGTGCTTCCAGGCACCAGGGCATGCTTGCAGGTATGGTGTTTTTTTCTCTTTTGGTCTCTGGTGAGGTTCAAGTCAAGTGTGCACTAATTTTAAGGGTTGACCACTTCAGCCGTTTATAGGGTTGACTTGAACTTCGAGGGCCTCGAGCCTTAACACGACTTTTTGCACTGTCATGTGGATGCATCATGTGGTTGAGACTGTTGAAACTTAGACACCTGATTAGGATCCATCGCCATGTTTCCTTTTCCTTGGCAGTCTCGAAATTGGCCGGGCACATCTCCAACTACGCCCGATCAAATGTGGAATTCTATGTGGAATCCTTCGATGATGGCATCTCCACGTCAACCAGGCAGTCAGGGTACTCCAGGACAATTTTGTGGAGGTGATCGCTGCCTCACACAACAGTCACAAGCTCAGACCCAGGCCCAAGCTCAGATCAACGCTTTGCAGCAACAAAATGCGTTGCTCAATCAACAACTTGCCAGTCAAACAATCTCTCATATTCAACGCCCTCAACAACTTGCACCACATCCACCACATTTGACACATTCACTTCCTCCACAAGCACCGTCTCCACAGGTGCCTGTCCAATCTGACCTAACGACTGAACATCAACAACCACAGGTGACACCACCATCACAACCTACCATCGACTCTGAGGAGATGATGAAGAAGATGCGTCTCAACTTTCAGGCCGATATCGAAGAAGCCCTCAAGAAATCCAAAGAGGTCCAACCTCCACCACCAATCACCACACCACCACCACCTTTACCACAACAACCGGAGGTTCCCAAACCCTACATTCCTGCAGGTCCATCTAGACTTGCACATCGATCCCGCTCACCCAGGGCACATCACAAGGACGACAAACGTCCTTTATCCATTCCACGAAGTCCTCCACGTCGCGAGCCAGATCTCCCGATTCCAGGAGATGTCGACAACGTACTTCCCGCTCTCGTCAGGAGAGCGCAGTTGTCCTAGAATCGGTCTCTCCAAGTCAATGCTCTCCCAGCCTTGACTTTGATACCGACTACCCCAAACCCAAAGTTCACGCCAAGCTCCAACCACGGCAACCTCAATACCATGATCCTGATCAAACCAACTACCACCAACATTGGTCCTCTTCGTCATGGGACCGTCAAGATTGGTCCGCTTCCAAACAGGACCGCCAATATGATCAGGAATGGGATGCCTGGGGCAAGTGGGGTCGCAACGAACCCCAACCTACCACCACCCATACTCAGTCCTGGTGGGATCCATCTACCTCCCAAAAGCCTTCATCCCACCAATGCCACACCTCCACAAAATATCAATCCCTTTCCAAACCTCTTACAGCTTATTCAGGTTCACACCAATGGCACACTTCCAAGCCCGCTCCATTGGGCAAGAAGCGCAAACCTGCCAAACACCAACATTGGCAAGATTATCGAGCGTTTCAGCCATCCACGGCAGACGGCCGCACTCGTGTCACCTTACAAGATGACACACAAGCGGGACTGGATCAGGAAAGTCAATTACGCGATGTCACACAAGCAACGCACGAAAGCCACGTGTGGATTCACACCAGAGGAAAGACCCAAGCCAGTTCTCTCGGCAGACAATGACCAGTTTGAGGCCCTTCTCCAGTCCATCATCAACATCAGCCGTGACATCCCAGGGGCTCGCCCTTGCAGCCAATCTCATCACTGGCTCAGACCTCCTTGACAAGATTGATGTCTCAGCACCAAAATCCAGCAAGGTGCGACATACCCAGTTTTGGGGGATACTTCCTGGGGCTCGAGGTCCCCAGGTCCTGCTCATTTCCAGGATGGGCCGCTCGGGACTTGTTGGACCGGGCCTCCAAGAAAGGTAAAGGACAACAAGCGGTGCTCATCCGAGCCCTTTACCGTGGCAAGGAACCTCACCTTGCCTTCAAAGCTGGAGGCAACGAAATGGCCCAGTTGAAGATTCCGACAAGTGGCATAGTCACAACGTCGGAGAAATATACAATTGCGCACAGCAAGCACACTGGCATTTGCTTCTTTGTGCTGAAGGGGGATAAACTCCCAACTGACACCGACTCGGAGTCGGACAATGTCAACTATCGTCGAAAGGGCAATGCATCTCCCTTACCGGCAAGAGTACCACCTGGTACAAACGCAGGCACTGAGGACCTCTCTGGACCACTAAGGTAATTTTGAAGCCAATTCAATTCGCAGCCAATTGCAGACTGGAAACCGGCTGTCACATGTCTAGGGCGACCTGGACAGACCATCAAGCAAAAGAGAATCATAGCTCGGTTGCCGCAATCTGTGCAATTTTACATTTCTCATGATTCATTCTTTCAGTTGCGCACTTGACTCGTATGTAATTCTCTGTTAGTCTTTGTAGGGATTTACTCTGCTGTATTGTCATGTCTCGCCATTCGACCAACTTCTACATGTGCTGAATCTTACGGTAGAGTTTTGACCATTTGTGCCCCAGTATCCCCAGCTTGATTGCTTTACGATGGCTGACTCTGATCGCTCGCGCTCTCCGATACCTGCGCGCAACCGGCTGGAACCTCAAGGGCAACGTCAGCCGCTACCATTTTTTCCTGATGGTCGGGACCTATGAGCGCAGCAGTCAGACACTTAAATAGCATGCCCAGACCTCAGAACCAACCGAAGTGGTCAACGCCTCTGCCAGGACATTACATGCTGGGACGCCCATGGACACCTCCTGTTCTCCCGTCCAGCTGGGCACCGTCACAGCCCTTTCCACCAACTCCACCAACTGTGCCTCCACCACACCGTTCCATATACTCTCCGGCCGGCACCTCAGTGCCATCCAAAACAACCATGCTCACCAACACCACCGTCCATCTCTCCTTCTCAACCACGGTCAGTGAGCGCTCCGAAGTCAGGTCCACCCTCTAAACCTGACAAGAATGAAGCCCCCAGAGTTTACGGCCTCGATCTCAATGAACACTGGCAAGCTGACCGTGACCACTATGACAACCAGAAGATCAATGGTCTCACCCTTGCAAGGGCCATTCGTCAATCAGCCTTCACACAAAAGCTGGACATCGAGGGGTGTGATCCCCTATCTTTCCCAGTGGCAGCCGTGTTGTATCAACAGGCCAGCAACCACTGCATGGCTACGGAAGCTGGCTCATGGTCGGGAACTTCACCTGATCCCGACGGGGGACATCGCTGCGGTGGTGTTTGCAACGGAGCTCCTCACTCAATTGAGAAACCGTGGCGTCGACCTGGACAGGGTCTCACAAATCAGAGCTCGACAGGATGGGAAGATGTTGGGCAAGACCTCCAACACCAAACATGCCGCACAAATCATCGCGGAGCACATCCAAGGTTGGCTCCCGACCCGTAGTGTTGACCCAGACTCCCAACATGAGATCACCAGCCTTTGCAATCAACTGGCTGAGCTTCGTCGGGAAAACCGTAGCTGGGCACTGCAGTGACAGTCCCTGGGTGCCGTCGTGCGCAGCTACGATGTCACCATATATATATATATATGTAACAAATCTAGTTGCCGACGGATCTCTTAAAAGATCCACTCTTGTCTAGTGTGATTCCTGTCGTGACTCCGACATGGTGCCATAGGGCCATTGGAGGCAACCCCTTTGTGGGTGACTGTCGACTGACCTGACTTCTGAATTAACACATTTTAAGCTGGTAATTCGTTTAAGTAAAGCGAAACAGTTAGCCTTTCCGTTTTGCACCGCTTTTCGAGAGTCCCGCTGCTCCTGCTGTCCCAGTGAACCTTGAGAAATGCATTTCTGCCAGTGTGAAGCCAGTCCGAACTACCAGAAACATCGTTTTTTCCGCTGCAGCTCAAGCTTTTAAAGCGACACATGACTGACCATGAAAGATGTTGCAGGCAGGCACATGCCTTCCAGGTGTGGTCTTTCTTGCTTTTTATGGTTTTCTGGTGAGGTTGAACATATCGTGCATCTAATTCGTTGGAACTTGAATAGCCGTTTATGCCATTGCGGCGTGACTTGACCACGGTCCCGGCTGGGAGTAACGCGCGACTGTCTTAGGTTTGAACTGAGTCCCCCTTAATTTTTTGTTGTTTTTTCTGTTCATCAACTAGTCCCCTATTTGGTCCCCTATTTCATGCGTTCTTCCCTCCCTAGGTAGGTCGGGTCCTTCGCGTGCCGAGGTAGGTTTTCGCTTTGTTAGGTTGGTTGGCGCTTCCGTCCTTCCCCCCCCTCCGCTGGTCTTGTTCCGTGTCCGTCGGCCTCCGCTTTCTTTTTCCCTTGCCCTTTCAGGCTTTGCCCGCTCCGGACCAGGGGTGTTGGTGTGTGTTTTCTCCTTCCCTCTTCTTTTGCGTTCCCCTCCTCGGGTCCCGGTTAAGTATAATCATTCATCTCATTTTCATTCTCATCTCATCTTCATTCCCCTTTCATCCTCATCTTCACCTCATTGCAAGGACACCACCCTGCCAAAGGCAGGGTGTGTGTGTGGAACGTCTGAACAGACGTAAAACTTTGCGAATTCATCATATTATATCACATTATATTATATATATTTTATTGCAGGGGGCTACCGGGGTCCCGGGGGGGTCGGCGGCCAACGAAGACACTCCCGGGACCCGTGAAAACGTACCTGCTTGCAGTGGGTTTGGACGGCAACCCCTTAAGTGGGGGCCGTAGCTGGGCACTGCAGTGACAGTCCCTGGGTGCCGTCGTGCGCAGCTGGGATGCCACCAGATATATATATATATAATGTAACTAATCTAGTTGCACGTTGAGGGACTCAGTTCCCGACGGATCTCTTAAAAGATCCACTCTTGTCTAGTGTGTGTGTGTATGCGGGAAAGAATTTTCAATTATCTAAGCTATGAATGTCAAGAAGGGGCGTGTGGCACTCATGTCCTGACCACACGCAATGAAGCTGTGGGAGGGAAACGGGGCCGGTTTCCTGTACCTGCAGGTCACTTGAGTGTGTTCACCTATTCATTCAGGCTGTTTAGGTCAATAGGGGTCTTGGAATCCGATTTTTGGTTGAGTTCACATACGGTCTAGAAATGTCAGGACGACTTCTTAGGAATATCGCACGGCGAGGACAACCACAACATCTTAAAGTTCCAATTCAGCGTAAGTACTTATTCTCAGCAGTGTGTGCGCGTGCGTACCCGCCTATACTCTTAATATTGTCAGTGGCGAGCTCTTTGTGTCAAATTCAAACATTGAATCAGATTGCTGGAAGCTAGAGGCTATCAACACAATGTCAGACGGCCCCTTTGCACTTGTCCCCTTGCTGCCCTCATCATCCTAGCTGAATCGGTGGTTGGCGTGGAATTTCGGCCAGAGGTCGTGGTGAGGAGAGCTTTGTACCCAGAGCACATCGTTGTGGTCTCTCGAAGCCAGGTTTGGGTTCAGCGAGTTTGGAGAAGCTGTCTTGCCAAGTGCAGTGTGCTGCCAGGTGCCCATGTTTTTGCAAACTGTGTTGGACACATGTCCCCAATGCATCAGCCATGTCCCCAGCACTGCCATTTGTGCGCAATAAGAGAAGCGACGTGAAATGCTCGGCTGAATTGTGGCAGCTTGAAAGCTTCATGGATGCAGAATCCGATTGGGCATAGTGGAGATGACAAAACAACGAGCACATCAGGTTTGATTTTGGTTTGGCCTTGGTACCGCCAAGGCCTCCATGGAGAGGAGTGGTCAGGGCCGCAAGTGATATATAGACTGCGAGAAAAGACTGGATTTATTTTTGCGCGTCGGATGCCTGGAGACCGACATTGTGAGAGTGTGTGTGTGTGTCTGTGTGCGCTCGCTACTTGCGCGCACACACACATACACACACATACACACACACACACACACTCTCACACATTCACACATTCACACACACACAGTGCATGGGGAAACTTATGGAGCAATATACGTAACTTTGTAGAAGTCAATGCCTTGAGGTCTTACATCTGGGAGTTAATCATCCTAAAGTGGCGACACATGGAAAAGAAATTGAATGGTCAACCGATAGGGAAACCGAAAATCAAATTGACCTGAAGCTGGACATCCTCTGACCTAGAACTTCAATTTGTAACTGTGACCCATACCGGGGTTTCTTGGCTTAGCCCCACGCCATTTTAGCGCAAAGAACATCGAAAAACAGGTACGTCACGGTGATCGGCCGTGATATCCGCATGTACTGTGGCCGCTTCGTTGGGCCATTGCTAACAGTACATGGATAGTCCCCCTGCATGTTGTTTAAAAGATTGAAACATAGTTATACTTGCATGTGACCAGCAGTTTACACGCACACGCACACAAACACACATGCACACACGGCCCCTCAACATGAGGGGCAACCCATGGTAAGAAGCAAATCTGCTTTGCTGACACCACTGCATCAAATGCTCTGTGGAGTCACACTTCATCATTCATCAAACGTCTCAGAAAAGTGAATCCTGTCGGTTTCTGGCAGTGAAAGTACAGAAGCAAACTGGGATCCGATACCAGCGCCCCGGCGTTGTTGGAACGCTTGGCTTCCGACCGTAAAATCGGAATGCTTCAAACCAAAAGGTATACAAGATCAAGTAGATGTCGCTGAGTGATGGAAACGTATTGTTTGGTTTTGTCTCTCCAGTATCCTTGAAAAACCAACTTCTGAGCATGGGCTTGCGGCTTGCATAACAGTATCAAGACGTTGTTCCATGTGATTGGCGTATGTGAAGACGACGAATTCCACTGCAGCTAAATATGTTAGTGTCCGACCTGATGGAAAAAACTTGCCATGTTTGGCTGTTTCAAAGAAGACGTCCATGCACATACGTCGACCATCGTAAATGCAGAGGCGCATGAACACAAAAAGACACAAACAGACATGCACATGGATGCACGCAGGTTCACAAGACAGCTCACGCACACACATGAACGCACACCAGCACAGACCCAGAGAGACAAAGATGGGACAAACAGACAGACAGAATTGGTGACTTCATTTCAGGAGCCGGGTGTTGGCTTCATGTGGGAAAATGGTCGCTGACTCCTCGGACATGGAAAGAACGCCGTGGAACGACGTTTGGAGATGGCCGGTCATTTGTACCCAAGGCACTGATGATCTTCGCCTCAAGACGTGGAAGCAGGCAGGGAACGAGGCAGGAACCCAGGCAGAGGCGAACAGAGGTACGGCCACAAGTACCACGCGGCCCCGCTTCTGAGGACCTCTGCAAAAGTCACCACAATTGCGTGACCATTGAGATCCACATCAGGCCCGCAGATTCCTTCTCTGCAGGACCGCGGAGAAGATATAATAGTGAGATGTACATGTACGGTTATTTGAGGTGTCTTTAGGTTATGGTGTTATTGTCTCTATATTGTCGTGGTTGAGATCTGGGCCCCTTGCCAGGAGGAAATTGCATCGTGGATTGTAGGTGTTCTGTGGTATTCCGTGGTGTTCCGCGACTCATGAGTCAGGAACAATTCAGTCGTTGGGCTATTCTTTCTACGCCAAGCTGAAGGCACAAGCGTTTTGGAAAGAGGTGGATTTTGGATACCTTCAGCTGCCAGGTGTTTGTAACTTGTCTTTGGGCTACATCCTGAAGATCCAAGATGGGGCCCCTTTACCCTTTGAATCTTGTTCATGTACCATGGGGCCATGGGGCATTCTTTGAGGTGCCCAAAGGCCTCTACCCGCAGGCAAGGGTAGCCTCAGTTTACCCCAAGGCGTCAGTTTTTCCCGAATGGGTAGCAAGGTTCCCGTTTCAGGGTTGAGGGTGTGTTTGCTAGACGTAGCTCAACCGTTCGCAACCGCAACCTTTCGCAACCGTCCGCATGAGGGCCGTATGGCTGTGCCTCTGGCGAGTTGTGCAAAGTGGTGACTTTTGGAGGTTTCAAACGTCGCTTAGCCTCGTTTCGCGTGGCAGGCGTGGAACTTTGTGACGTTCCAACATGTTTCATAACGTGTCGAAGATTTTTTGGTGTGGCAGGTGTAATACTTTGGCATCGTTTTCAGATGATGAGTTGCATTTTTCCTGGCAGGCGCAGCAGGCTGGAGACCTGCATCGTCATTCGTGGCAAGCGCGCGGCACTTCAGACGCGTCGTGTTGCGTCTTTTGCAAATCGCGTTGTGGCAGGCATTGCATTTTGTGAGATGTGAGGAAATTTGACGGACGCCTCGCACGAAACATCGATTTTGAGGTAGCGCACATTTTGAGGTTCATGAGAAAACTCGTAGGAAAACGTCGATTTTGAAGCTACAAAGTTTGCAAATTGGCTAGAAAGCCGAGGAAAGTGTCTGATTATGCTGCGGCAGGACTGTGCCGCAAGCAGGTTCCCTGGGGTGCCGCGGCACTTTGCGTGGCAGGCGTGGCGCTTGGCGACATCCACCGTCACTTTGCCTGGCAGGCGTGGCACTTGGCGACATCGACCTTTGTTTTGTGTGGCAGGCGTGGCGCTCCATCTCTTTCAAATACGACTTTGTCACACACAACTTTGTCACGCACAATCTTTCACACATATCTCTCTCACATGCAACTTTATCGCACAACTTTGTCACACACAACTCTTTCGCACACGTCTCTCTCACATGCAACTTCTCTCTCACATCTTTGCCACACACAACTTTGTCACACACACACACAACTTTGTCACGCACAGTTCTTTCACACACAACTTTGTCACAGACAACTTTGTCACACACACACAGCTTTGTCACACACAACTTTTTCACACACACACACAACTCTTTCACGCACAACTTTGTCACCCACACATTTGTCACACACACAACTTTGTCACAGGCAATCTTTTTCACACACAACTTTGTCACACAACCCTTCTACATACAATTTTTAAAATTATCGATCCTCCACCATTTCCATTGTCCTTTCTGCTGTCTCCGTGCTGCTTCAACCACTCTTTCTGACTATTGGAAGAAGCTGGCTTGTGGGGTTATCTGGTCCTTTAAATCTGTTTATTCATTCAGTCATTCAGTCAGTCTGTTGGTCTGCCTGGCTGTCTGTGTGCCTGTGTGTCGGTGTCTGTCTGTCCGTCGGTCGGTCTGCCTGCCCTGTCTGTCTGTCTGTCTGCCTGTCTGTCTGTCTGCCTGCCTGGCTGTCTGTCTGTCTGCCTGCTTGTCTGTCTGTCTGATAGGCTGTCTGTCTGTCTGATAGGCTGTCTGTCTGTCTGATAGGCTGTCTGTCTGTCTGTCTGACTGTCTGTCTGATAGGCTGTCTGATAGGCTGTCTGATAGGCTGTGTGATAGGCTGTCTGATAGGCTGTCTGTCTGGCTGGCTGGCTGGCTGTCTGTCTGTCTGTCTGTCTGTGTGTCTGTCTGTCTGTCTTTCTGTCTGTGGCTGGCTGGCTGGCTGGCTGGCTGGCTGTCTGTCTGTCTGTCTGTCTGTGTGTCTGTGTGTCTGTCTGTCTGTCTGGCCGTCTGTCTGTCAATCTTGCGCTGATTCTTTCATGTAATTTCATTTGCATCTCAACACCTTTGCTCATTCGTTGGTGCACTTCACAACCTCAGAATTTGCTATTGCATCTCACAGACATTCGTGGATTCCCATAGTCATCTCACTGTTTCGAAACTTCTGCCCCGGCACGGCTGAGCACTATTAGTAAGTCATTTTGGTTTCTTTTTTTTTTAGGCCGCAGCCAAACAGCCAAACAGTCATTCAGAGGTTTCCATCTAAGGCCGACGAAACAGAGCATTTGTGTTTTGCAAAATGGAGTCCACTTCACGGCCAGTTTTAAGACGAGCCACAGAGGTCCAGACTCGGGGGTCCCAGTATGGGCCCCCCACGCACCCCGTACGCCCGCGCACACAGGGTTTCTTTCTGCGCTTTGACAGCGTGAGTTTGGCAGTATGGTTTCTGGGTTTGGTTCCCATGCGAGAAAATGTGTGTGCGCGCGTGTGTGTGTGTGTGCGCGCGTGATTTCCCTTCTATGTTGCGATGCTCTCTGCAATTTTTTGTGCCATGTAAAATGTTCCGGCATAATTGCGTTTACGTTTTTAGCTTTTTTGGTTGCTGGAAAGGAAACCTTTTTGCTTTTGCTAGTGTTGACAGGACCTGAAGCCGCTGAAGGAAGGCTCTGTCCAGGTCTACCAGGCCCACGGGCGACAGAAGCACACCCTGACCCAAAACCGGACGCAGAATCAGTTGATATCGATGAACAAAATTTATTTCGTTTTCATACCAATCTAATGGAACCTGCGGATGTCAAACAAGTGCACGGCGTACAGAGTTGTAACAGATGAGTTAAAGTTTCTGCAAGTGTGCTGCAGGCATGTGATAGCCCCTGCCGATTGCCTTATTGCTCGAAGTACTTGTAGACGACGCTCCGGTAGCCGTTGTCGCAGCAGAAGTGGGCGAATCTATCAGAGAACGATCCCCATGGCGACTGCACGCTGTCACAGGTTCTCAGCCGTATCAATGCCCCCATGAGCCGCATCCGCGCTCCCATTGAGCGGGCTGATGCTGATCACTGAAGCTTCACAGACGGAGACATTGCGAAGCGCCCAAGCCGGCGGTGGAACTTTTCCTGAATGAGTGAAGCAAGGTAGGCCGGGAAGATGGTCGAAGTCCGAGAACAATTTCTAGCTTGGGAAGACCGGGGCAGCAACGTTACGCCCCTGCCAAGAGTGCGTCGAGGCGTTCATCTGAGATCTTTTCTTCTCTTACAATGCGGCCGGGAACGATCTCTCCGCTCAGCTTCACGTTGGATAACTTTGAGCAGCTATCTTGTCCCAAGGTATTGAGGATTGCCGACAAAAGGTTGAACCGGCAGCTCATGATGATTGTTGGGGTGACACAGCATTTGAATACCTGACACACGGCAGCAAGACGGCAAAAAATAGCGCTCAGCATTTCGCATCGAGGAAGCCGAGACTCTTGCAACGCAGCATGTCCACATGAGGCATCACAAGGTTTAAGAACCAAGCGTCTGAGTTGGGTTACGCACGAAAGTGTCACTGAGAATCTTGGAACTCCAAAGCTGCAAAGCTCAAGTGACTGTGGGCGGTCAAAGGCAGCTGGCTGTCAATTGCAATCAACTGACTTCAACTGATTAAGAAGAAATTCAACCTTTCACTCGAAGAGCCGATGGTGAAACAGGACTGAAACCTGATCTACAATCTACATGGCGGTTGATCACGCGAGAAAAGCTTACTTGGAAGTACAAGGTCAGATGGTGAAGAATTTTCAGCCGCTTTGGAGTCGGATAGCTGCGGGCCAACAAAAGGGGGAGCATCATGGCAGAACCCCGCTAAAAGTTACGATGCCAACCTCTTGGCTGCGAGGCAAGAGGCGAAGACTTTTGAGATGCCAATTGAATCCCGGGGAGAATGAACATGTACTGCCGGAACAGGTGCAAGAAATAGAAAAGCTTCAGCTTTCGCCAGCCAAGCAAAAGTCGAGTGGAAGGCTGCGAAGTATTTGCGTGTAAAGCGGGCCGCTGATGATGGGCCCGGGGCGGTGGTGCTGATGTTGGAACAGTGTCGAAATCAGATGCGATATATCAAGTTGACCAGCCCCATGAAGAACCTTTCCGGCGTGGGGATGACAAAACCAATCTGAACTGACAGGGTCAGAAGGCCGCACAACATAGAAGAGCTACCAAAACATCTCCAAGACCCGCAAACAAATATACCACCGAAGAATTGTGGCAGCGCCTTCCCATCAGCGACCCTCAGGTGATCAAGTAGAAGTTCCAAAGGAAAAAGAAAAGAAGATGCAGAGTAAGCGCAGCTAAAGCCAAAGCTAAAGACAAACTTAGAAAAAAGACCGGGGATCAGGTGACAAGGGTCCAGACTCTATAAGCCGTCATCATGCTTCAAGACAGCCCAGTTTGCCGTCCCAGATGTTCCAGAAGGCGAAATTCGGATAGGGATCTGCCAGAGGCTGGTCCATGCCCGTGTCACGACGATGAGGCATATCTTGTGACTGGGATGAGTGATGCGGGCCGGAGCTGGAACAAACTTTCGCGCGAAAGAAACCACAAGCAGAGCAGGCGCACGGCGGGTGGCGGAAGTTTCCAGTATAAAGATGTGCTCCTGTAGGAGTGCGGGAAAATTTTTGCTCAAAGGAGTTGAAGCGAAGCAAAAAGACAATTCTTGCAAGCTTCTTTTTCAGTGAACACTTGCTGTGGACGATGCCGTTGCTGATCTGCCGCAGCTTTGGACCACTCGCCGTCTTGCGGTTCGTCTCTATTTTTCTTGGCACCCCTCTCAGGGCCTCTGTCTTCTGATGCCTCTAGGGGGATATTTGCTCTGACCTCTCTTGCTGTCCTTTTTTCTTGACAATATGGAATTGAAGTTTCGCTGTCATTTTAGAACGTTCGTGCGAGAAGCTGTCTGAAAATTTGAGCAGGAGATAGACGCGTGGGAAGCAAAGTTTGCATTGACGACAGCGCGGCTTTTTCTGTTCACCATGCGCTAGCAAGTTGACAGGTCTAATTGAGATCTTGACCTGTCAGCAAAGATGACTTCATCTCCTCTGCGGCGGGCAGAATCTTTCAGAACAGCCGCACCGTCTCCAGTGCATAGTTTCAACTTCCTATTCATCAAAAGCCTGCTGCTGTTCCAATGAAACATGGTTTTTGCGACGCATCAAATGCATCCTCTGCCTCGGCCACTGCATTGCGTCCAGTGCTTCGGCCACTGCTCAAAAAAGTTACACTGTTTTGCGCGCCGCTTCTCTGATAGCATTCCGTTCAGATTTGAGCTATGTCACGAAAGCTTGCAAAGCCACTGCCCCCAAAGAGCACCTGTTCGTGTCTTCGGTGTCGGAAACAAGCGTTACTTATGACCATGTCAGGCTGTTTTTAAGATATGCGCGCTGCATCATGAAACCAGAAGCGAGAACCGACTTGATGTTCTGTTTTGTTCTTATCATTCTACTTGAAAACAACAAACCGCAGCACCCCTCTGCATATCAAGCTACATGGAACACGGCCTCGAGTCAAACCCTTGGCAAGCTCCAGATTGGCACGGCAAGTTTCAACACTGCGAAGACAAGCCTTCCAGGCTCATATCTGCCTAGTTGTGTTGCCATCGGTGCCCCTTTTGATCCGTTTCATGGAAACCTGAATTGACAAACTGTCCCAGCATACCAAATGTGAGTAGTACAGCTGCACGCCCCACTGACAAACAAGTTTTGTGTGGCACTGGTGCAATGGTCGCAATATTCTGAAATTGAATTTCAGGCCGCTCTGACCAGAACCACGGGTGAACATATTCGGTTTGTGGGAGCCGTATTCGGAATTTGTTTCCGAACAGCGACAGCAGTGGCTGTTGGATTTCAACTTTTCAAAGCCGGCACGGAATTGTTGCGAGGCCACGTTATTTCATGAATGGTATTGTAGATTGTTCAGGAAAACAAAAAACACTGCAAATGTCCAGTGGTCACAAAAAACATGCTTGGCTCCTAGGAGGCTGTCCTGCTTGTACCTTAGACCGAACGAACCTTCAAGCCACAACAGGCAAAGCCGGGTTATATAATATGAAGCAAGGTCCTAGAATTCCCAGGATCACAAGGTGGCAAGGCTCCGGGTGTCAGCATTGCATGGAAAATTTGCAGCGTTGAAAGGTGCCAAAGTTCCAGGGTTTGAGGGCTCCTTCTGGGGTTCCGGTTTAAACGTTCCAGGGAGGTCCAAAATTTGAAGCTTGCATGATTCTACAGTGTGATGCTTCCGCTTCCAGCATTCCAGAGGTCTTCTCCCGGGTCAACATTTTTGTTGGGGGTGGTCGCTTCTCACGCTTCCTGTGTAGTTTGATGCTTCGTAGCCTGCTGAGAGAAGTACGTTTTCCTTTGAAACGCCATGTCAATATTTATCTCGAGGTAGAACGGTTGTCGGAAAGCCACGGGCAGGAAATCTTGCGGCCTGAGGGGGTGCGAGTTTAACGTAGGCGAAGAAGCATGTGATGTACCGTGCCATGCCTTCCATATAGGGTCAGAAGGCATGTTCGGGTCTATCCGGGGGTTTAGTTTGCATTCCGGGGTCGCAGGCATTGGGACTGGACGAGTGGTCGCCAGCGCTCTTCAAATCCTATACCTGCATACCACGTTCTAACTGACTCCTGATGTTGCAAAACATTGCAAGGTCATGGCGTTTTGTGCTTTTTGTACAAGAGCTGAGGCATTGTGCTTTGCAGGCCATCAAGTTTTTGTCATTGCTTGTTTCGCTTTGACCCTTCCCAACCCTCCCATTGTGGCAACAGAATGGCTTAGGCCAAACAAATCCAGACTGGTCAAGATTGAGTTGTGGGTTGGATAAACTGGCTCAAGATACGTTGGCAGCGCGGTCGTAACGAAAGACATGCGGTGCTCGGATGAGAACAACAGTGACTGCATCTTTTGGGAAATCATCAACATCGTGACTGTCAGATTTCGCAATTTGTGCGAACAGCTTTTTTTCAAAAAAAAATCCGTGACAGAGGTGCAGGGCAACGTAACTTGGAAACAGATAGGTTTGTCATGGTTTGTTTGAAAATAGGGAGTGCTGCTGGTTACTGCTGGTTACTGCTGCTTGCTGCTGGTTACTGCTGGTTACTGCTGGTTACTGCTGGTTACTGCTGGTTACTGCTGGTTACTGCTGCTGCTGGTTGCTGCTGCTGGTTGCTGCTGCTGCTGCTGGTTGCTGCTGCTGCTGGTGGTGGTGGTGCTGCTGCTGGCGGCAGGTGGTGGTGCTGCTTCTGGTGGTGGTGGTGCTGCTGCTGGTGGTGGTGGTGGCTGCTGCTGCTGGTGGTGGTGGTGGCTGTTGCTGCTGGTGGTGGCTGCTGCTGCTGGTGGCTGGGGCTGGTGCTGGTGCTGGTGTTGGTGCTGGTGCTGCTGCTGCTGCTGGTGGAGCAGCTGCAGCTCCTGCAGCTCCTGCAGCTCCTGCAGCTCCTGCAGCCCTGCAGCTGCCGCAGGCCTCCAAAACCATCGCCACACCTGAAGGACGGAACGACCTCCAAAAACACGCTGCCCAGGGGCTTGACGTCCCTTCTGGATCCTATTAATTAAGAACAAGGCGAATTCAGCTACCTGCTGTTCCTGCTGCTGGATTGCTGTTCTTGCGGTTCCTGCTGCTGTATTGCAGCAGCTGCTGCCGCTATTGCTACTACTGCTGCTGCTGCTGCTGGTGCTGGTGCTGCTGCTGCTGGTGGTGGTGGTGGTGCTGGTGCTGGTGGTGCTGGTGCTGACAGAAGACTACCAGTGGTGGTGGTGGTGGTGGTGGTAGTAGCAGTAGCAGTAGCAGTAGCAGTAGCAGTAGCAGTAGCAGCAGCAGCAGGAGGAGGAGGAGTAGTAGTAGTAGTAGTGGTAGTAGTAGAAGTAGTAGTAGTAGTAGTAGTAGTATTTGCAGCAGCAGCACAACTTGCTGCCAGCTCTTTAGCGCGGCCAACTCTTTTTCCCTGATGGTCGACGGATATAGGTTGAACATTTTGGCTTTCAACACGGGCATATTAGTTATACATTGTTTCATTATCCCATGAACAAGGTTTACAGCCTGAAACAAAACGTATAAACATCAAAGGTCTATTGAAGATCTCGTGTTTGTTAGGGTTTTTTAAATTTTAAATGACAAATATCTGGAATCACTTAAAAAACAACATCGATTATTTACATGCATATATGTACATATGTGCGCGAGACACGGCAACACCGGCGGGCAGCTAGATGGAACCACTTTCTGTTTTACCTTTGGATTTAGGTTCAAGACAAGGTGGGCCCGGTTAAAACATCGACATACGTTCAAATTTGAAGAGTCAGATAAATTTGGAGAAAAGCCGGCGCGGGCAAACAAATTCAGTGATCAAAACGAGGTCAGGACATGGAAACCCAGGTATAGGGTCTGCCTCGGCTTTGCAGTTGTCTCAAACAACATTGTTGCCCATGTTTCGCTGTTTGGCATTAGTTTCTGTGTTTTACAGGCATGTAACGTTACTTAGTGCAATTCGAATGTTACTTGATGTTCGTGAATGGCGGCTGTTACTAAATCTCGTTACTTAATCTGACTTCTATATATGGCATATATATGGCATGCTGCTTGTTGTCAGGCGGTGATCCGATCGCGGAGTTGCGCCGTGGCCACAGGGTTGTTCTTCGAGCGCCGCCTGGCGACAATGCGAGTAGCGACGCAGCGTGACACATGACATGCGACGCACAAAGACATGTGAGAACATGTGAGGATATATTTGAGGAAATGTGAGGACATGCGAGGACATGTGAGGACGCGGCAACATGACCTAACAAACAAAAAGGGAAAAAAGCAAGCACCGATGCCCAAACCCTGGAAGAAACTGGAAGCACTTCGAAGAACGGGGCAAATTCCGCACATTCACAGTGTTGAGCTTGGAGATTTCAATTTGACCTGAGGCTTCTTCAGTAACTTGTTGCTGCTGGAGCCTTTGGGAGCTTTGTTTCTCTTGGATATGTTCGAAGGAAGTTTAGAAGTCAAACTTCCGACAATATGGACAGATGAAAAGCAGAGCTGGGCAGAGGCAGGGAGAAGAGAAGAGCAGAAGAGAGAAGATGATAGAAGAGAAAGAGTCAGAAGAAAGAAGATGCAGATGCGCGAAAAGGTAGGAAAGTCGCGAAACGCTCTGTGTTTCCAATGATTTGTGGCTCCGGAGGGTCGAAAAGTAGGCTCGCTAAAGCGGCCGGTGCGGAGCCAGCTGGCCAGATGAGACATGAAAAAGTGCACGCCGCTGTGGCGCGAAGCACATTTCGAAGTCAAAATGTACAAAACACACCAGTGTCGGACCACTTTTGGAAGTTGAGATGTCGAAAAAGTGCATGCCGTTGCGGCGCGAAGCACATTTCGAAGTCAAAATGTACAAAACACACCAGTGTCGGACCACTTTTGGACGTTAAGATGTCATTCCGCGTGGCAGGTGCAAGGGATTGTGGATCTTGTCAAAAGTGAGCAAAACGTGGGGGTGGTTTTGTAGCATTTTCAACTACAACCACCACTACACCACACCACACTCCAACACACAACACAACAACTACAACTACAACTACAAATACACCTTCACTACATTCCACTACACTACACTCCACTACACTCCACTACACTCCACTACACTACACCACACTACGCTCAATTACACCCAATTACATTCAATTACGCTACGCTACATTACACTACACTCCACTACACTACACTACACTACGTTACACTACACTACATTACACTACACTACACTCGACTACACTACAGTACATTACACTACACTAGACTACCTGCCACTACACTACATTACACTACACTACACTCCACTACACTACAACTACACTCGACTACACTCCACTACACTCCACTACACTCCACTACACTAAATTACGCTGCACTACACTACAGTACATTACACTACACTACATTCCAGTACACTCCACTACACTACATTACATTACACTACACTACATACCACTACACTACACTACACTACGCTACATTCCACTACACCACACACTACACACTACACACTACACTCTACACTCTACGCTCTACGCTCTACGCTCTACGCTCTACGCTCTACGCTCTACGCTCTACGCTCTACGCTCTACGCTCTACGCTCTACGCTCTACACTACACACTACACACTACACACTACACACTACACACTACACACTACTACACACTACACACTACACACTACACACTACACACTACACACACACTACACACTACACACTACACACTACACACTACACTACACACTACACACTACACTACACACACACTACACACTACGCTACTACACTACACACTACACACTACACACTACACACTACACACTACACACTACACACTACACACTACACTACACACTACACACTACACACTACACACTACACACTACACACTACACACTACACACTACACACTACACACTACACACTACACACTACACTACACACTACACACTGCACACTACACACTACACACTACACACTACACACTACACACTACACACTACACACTACACACTACACACTACACTACACACTACACACTACACTACACACTACACACTACACTACACACTACACACTACACTACACACTACACACTACACACTACACACTACACACTACACACTACACACTACACTACACACTACACTACACACTACACACTACACACTACACTACACACTACACTACACAACACTACACTACACAGCACTACACAACACTACACTACACTACACAACACTACACTACACAACACAACACTACAAAACACTACACAACACAACATTACACTACACTACACTACAACTACATCTACATCTACAACTGCAACAACAACTACAACAACAATACTGCATGTACACTACGCTACACTACACTACACAACACTAATTACACTACACTGCGCTAGACCCCACTACAGTACACTACACTGAAGGACACTGCATCACAGATAGACAGGTAGACAGATAGACAGACAGACAGGCAGGCAGATAAATAGATAGATAGATAGATAGATAGATGGATCGATAGATAGATAGATAGACAGATAGACAGATAGACAGATAGGCAGATAGACAGGTAGACAGATAGAGAGATAGATAGATACACAGATAGACAGATAGACAGGTAGACAGATAGATAGGTAGATAGACAGACAGATAGACAGATAGACAGGTAGATAGCTAGGCAGGTAGACAGGTGAAAGAGAGAGAGAGAGAGATAGATAGATAGAACGATAGGTAGATAGAAAAATAGATAGATAGTAGGTAATTAGATGAAAGGATGAAAGGGAGGGAGAGAGAGAGAGAGAGAGAGATAGATAGATCGATAGATAGATAAATACATAGAAGGTAGATAGGTAGGCAGGTAGATAGTCAGAGAAAAAGAGAGAGAGAGAGAAAGAGAAAGAAAAAGAGAGGAGACCTCAAGCACCTTTCGGTCCATCAGTGGATTCGCTCTGCCATCCGTGATTCGCAACAACCAATCTCTCCTATAGGTTTCCTATGTTTGAAACTTCCGCCACTGCCTTGTGCGGTACTACTGGTATCATCGAAGGTGGATGGCGCGTTTCTAGCACCAAAGTGATTGCCATTGTTTCCAAGGCTAGGCTTTCTTCACGAGATTCACTTCCAGCATTTTGGTGTTTGGACGCCTAAGTATTATTGGGACTTGGGGCGAGCTACCTGGGACTTTTTTCCTCCACCTTTTCCAATCTCATGTATGCGCGGAGTTTTCTTTTCCAAAAAATAGGAAAAGATCAGCACAAGAATCACGCCCAGTTCGTGTCTAGAGAACATTCAGACAGATAGGCCACTTGAGTTGCCAAAGTCACTACTCAGCTTGCCGTTTTGCTTGTGATTGTTTGTCCTTTGTTTGTCCTAGCTGGTCTCGCTAGGTGAATTCAGCCTGTGTTCGTTTGGAGAAGCGAGTGCGCATGCTGCCTCAGCATGAACTTGAGAAACTCTGCCATGACCCTTGGAGCCAGAAAACTAAAATAGGATTATGCAGAGCATCATGTGACCAGATGCTTGAATTTGCTTGAAACATTGCGCTGCTCAGTTTGGTCTTGTGCTTGACGATTCGCTTTGATACTCTGGATTCATTGAATACCCCGCGACATCCTGCCCACGACATCCTACATCCTTCACATAGTCCTCAAACAACTGGAAGCAAAGCGGCTTCTGGAAGATAGGAACATGTTGTACATATTGTAATGTCATGTGAGTCATGTCATTCTTGTTAGGTTCATGTGGGGATGTGCCTTACTGAGCCTTGCTCAAGGCCGTTGTGATACTAATCAGTGACCTTGACGCGTGACCAACCTGACGTCAAATCGCATCCTCAGGATTGCTACACGTTAAGCACGTCGCACTTGTCAAGGCCAGAGCTTTCTACCCTGCACATGCCTAGGCTGTTCTGCCACCAGGCCAAATCTGATTTGTCAGGGCTTAGCTGTTCTACTTACTACTTATTTTTGTTTGAGTTGGGATGAGTTGGCCATGTATGTATCTTTCTTCCATGGCCATACATTTGTTTTTTTATTGGGGGGGGTGGGCCTGGCTCTTTGGATGCTCCATTTCTTTTCTGCTTCTGGTACTATTTGGTGATTTTTTTTGGCTTTCGGCTTTTCGTGCTTCTCGGCTTTTTTGCTTCTGTTTTTTTTTTGTTTCTTTGCTTTTTGCTTCTCTGCTTTTCCGTCTTTCTGTTTTGTTTGCTTTTCTGCTTTCTGTTATTTTTTCTTTTCTTTTTTGTTTGTTTATTTGTTTTTTCGTTTCTTTGCTTGTCTTTTTTTTGGTGCTTTTCTGCTTTTTTGCGTCTCTGCTTTTGATCACCTTTTTTTTCTTCTCTGCTTTTCAGTTCTGCGCGGCTTGGTCGCAGAACGCCGTCGCAAAACGCCGTCGCAAAGGCCGTGCACAAGGAATTGAGAACTCTTTTAATCGCGATGTTTTGAACTTAGCGTGGTTTTCCAGTTTGGGTGTCTGCAAGAGCGGCGGCATGGGGTGTGAAAGGGGTCCTGTAGGGCACCCCATCGCCATTGGTTGATATGGCATAGGTGAACATCTGACAGTCGATCCGGTTCTGACAAGCCTGGGACGCAAGGAGCCGCGGCAAGTAAAGTGATTCGTACAGATGCCACCAGGCTTCCTAACGACCAGCATCGCTGAGTGCACTTTTCACACCCCTTCTTGTCAATTAGAGGATCTGCAAGATGCAGCAAGGATGTATGACCTTTTGTGCTTGCAAATTCAAATGCATATTTTTCGTCAATTCTTTTTTCTACTTTTGCATTCCTTTTTCTGAAAAACAAATCCTTGGCGACTTCTAATGGCTTTTCTTTTCAACTTTGTTGGTTGTCTTTCAACATGACTGTCGATTGTCTGTCCGATGTGATGTAAAGTTGGAAGTGATGATGGAAGCATCCGCCGCTGCAATCCAGGGTCAAGGATTTTCGACTGCGTGCTTTGGACGGGATGAAGCAGGCGATGTTAGACATTGTTTTACTGAATGGACGGCAAGAGATGGTAAGATGAGGTGCAGTGTACAGAGATGTACAGAGTATAGAATACATGAGCTGCAGCAACTCCGGACCAACGGGACACGTGAGCGCTTGAGCACCCACAGAACGGAAACGACATGATCGACGTGTAGGCTGAGAAGGCGACCAAAGCTGCTGTTGAAGAGGGTGAAAACAGTGAGGTGCCGCAATGGCAACAAGTAGCCGCTGGCCTGGGACCGCTGGGTGATTCAGCGAGTGTTCATAAAAGGGCAAATCCGATCTCAAAGCAGGACACAGAGGACCTTTATAGATGTGACAGTTACAAAGTTATAAGAGGAGGTTTCGTACAGAAACTCCGAGTTACGGATGGCTGGACTTGCTGAACCTCACATTACCTCAACATCACATAACCTCAGCACCACATTGCCTGAACCTCAAATTGCATAAGCCCCACACTACGTCAAATTCAACTTCACATTATCACGTTACCTGAGCATCATTGTGCCCCAGCCCCACATGACCTCAACCTCACATACATCAGCTGCACATTTCAACTTCATGCTACATGAGACCGCATACCTGAACCCCCTTCAACCTCGTATTACACCAGCACCACATTACCTCGACCTCGCGTTCAACCTCGCATGTCTTCAGCACCACAGCAACCCCACATTACCTCTCTTCACATCGAATCTCACATGACCGCAACCTCACATGAACGCAGCATCACCTTTAAGGTCACGTGACCTTCACATCGCATGACTATACATCAGCATTGGATGACGATGATTCCAGCCTCACATTAACTCAGCATCCCATGACCTTAGTCCTACCTTGCCTCAACCTCAAACTCAACCTCGCAATACCTAAGCATCGCATCACCTCAACATCGCATGACCTCAGAACCCCAATGTTTTGAAACCTTGCATCCCTTCTCTTAACCTTGGCATTGGCATCCTTTTCTTGACCCTGAGAACATCGTTTTAAAATTTTTTAAAGGTTGCTTCGCTACCTTCTGGAACCTTGTGCCATTTTTTCTCGACCTTGCTGACTTTTCAACTTTCCAACCCACTGGAGCCCTGAGCAACGTTAAGTGCGGCAGCTGGTTCTGGAGGAGCCGGGAAATTCTGGAAGGTTCTGGGAGGTGACGGTGGCTTTGTCGGTTCCAAATGGCTTGGAGGTTCTGATGCGGTGGTTCCGGAAGTTCCGGCGTCGGTTGGTTGAAACTTAATCTTCCGCTGGGGAGGGCGTATTTTTCTTGTTTCTGTTTTTTCGCTTGCATTCTTTTGTTGCCATAAGCTTGTCTTACGTATATTTTTCGTTTTTTCTTCACCTGCCAGGTGAGGGCCCCTACATTTTTAGCAGAGGTGAAACTCCTCTCCTCTCCTCCGCGTCCTCCTCCTTCTGCCGGCTCGTTGTGAGTGTCAGCATGAATGGGCCTGGAGCTCACAGCCAGTGCCAGAAGCTCATCGCGGATTCCAGTTCAGTCTGGGCATGCATTGGGCTTGAGCCGCGAGCTCTGGATGCAGCTGCGCACGAATGGAACCGAACACTACCGTGAGCTTTGATTGCAGCTGGCCAGCGGACCCGAGCATCCTTCCATGTTTTCAACACATCCAATTTGACCGATGCTGCTTATACTAAAACCCAAGGAATGCAGGAAGTTTAAGAAGCCTGATGAGATGCACATGGCGGGGAAGTTAGATATTGAAACCAGATGAGCGCAAGAGGTTGTTGAGAGACACAGGGGTGCAGGGGAAATTCGGATATTGAAACAACATAAACGCAAGAAGTTGTGGAGAGGCCAACAGGGGGAAGCCTACATATGAAACCAAATGGACGCAGGAAGTTGTTGGGGGGCACCGGGGGGGAAGAGAAGGTTAGATATTGAAACCAGATGAGCGCAGCAAGTTGCTGAGAGATGAGGGGTGAAGCCTAGACATTGAACCCAAATGACGAAGAATGCAAAAAGTTGTGGTGAGACGGGGGGGGCCTAGATATTGAAACTAGATGCATGCAAGAAAATGTGTAGAGGCAACGGGGAGGCCAGATATGAAACCACATGAATGCAGGAAGTTGCTGAGGGGCTCTGGGGAGGAAACATATATATATATATATATATTGAAACACGATGAATGCAGGAAGTTGTTGAGGGGCACCGGGGAGGAAGTTTAGATATTGAAGCAAGATGAATGCAAGAAGTTTGTGGAGAGGCTAAAGCCGGGGGGAAGTATAGATATTCAAACCATATGAGTGCAAAGATGTTGAACCCAAATGTCGATGCATGCAAGAAGTTGTGGAGATACGAGGGCGAGAAAAGCCTAGATATTGAAACCACATAAAGCAGGAAATGGCTGAGAGGCCCAGATGTGGGAGAGCTTTAGATATTGAAGCAAGATGCTTGCAAGAAATTGTGGGGAGGCCACAGGGGTGCCAAATATGAAGCCAAAAGAATGCAGGAAATTGTTGAGGGGCACCGGGGAGGGGTTCGGATATGGAAACAAGATGAATTCAAGAAGTTGCAGAGTGGCTAGGGGGCAAGTATAGATATTGAAACCCAATGAATGCAGGAAGTTTAGGAAGTTTGATGAGAGGCACAAGGGGGGGAAGTTTAGATATTGAAACCAGATGAATGCCGGCAAGTGAGGCACTTTCACCCAGGTTGCCACCAAGTTGAGCCTCTGCGTAACTGACAAAGGCCGGAAAAGGTGTGAAAAGTAAAAATTGAGAAGAGGGGAGCATGGTAAGGAGGCGCTGAAACCACACAATGTATTGAAATGCTTCCTGCCATGTTGCATGGTAGCGCGCGATCAAGACGCTTCGAGAATCTATCCAAAGGGGGTGTGGTTTGGGGAGGGGCCAGTTCCAGCGGGAGGGTGCGCAGGTCCAGCAGGGTGTGCGGGAACAAAAGAAGGGCAGCCATCTCCAACAAAAATTGTAGTAAGGTCATGTAAAGTCCATGAAAAATGTCCAGGCCCAAAAGAAATGGAACGAGGTCCAAAAAAGTGTTTTCCATCCAAACACAGCTTCGCATTAGCCCAACCTCACATTCAACCTCACATGACCTCAGCCTCACATTATCTCAACCTCACATCACAGGCCTCAACGACCCGATAGAGTCGAAAAGAGTAGAGTGGAATGGAGTGGAGCGGAGCGAAGCGGAGTGTCGTGGAGTGAAGCGGGGTAGAGTGGAGTGGATAGGTTTGTGCCAGAGGTAAAAAGAGATGAGAAACGGTGAGAAGAGGTGAATGAATTTGAGATGGATTGAGAAGAGGTGAGCAGGGATGAGAATAAGTGAGACAAGTTACGAAAGCTGGGCTTCAACCAGGCGAATCTGCTCCTTGCCCTTGCAAAGTTTTTGGACAGGAAGGGGTGAGAAGAGCTGAGACGAGTTGAGGAGCTGAGACGAGTTGAAGAGGTGACAAGAGGAGAGGAAGAGCCGAGAAGAATTGAAACATCAATGCAACTCCTATAGACAGACTTTTTCTTGCGCCCCTATGGGAGCACGCCTTGCTATTGGAAACTTCCGGCATCCGCCTTGTGCGGGGGATTTACTGGCATATCGGACCAGATCAGATCTCCATTATCATCCGGGGCATCCACATGCTGTGTCTGTTGCAGGCCGGTTTCTGCGCCTTTTCCTTGCGGACAGGGGAGAAGAACCATTTTTTACAAGGAGATATGCTGCGGCCACATGTAGAGCAAAAGGTTCACACGAAATATTGCGGCAATCTGGTTCAACATACAGTGAGGAAAAGCAAGCGTAGTTCTGTATTATGTGCAGGTGTTCCAGAGTTCGGTTCAGAAAACTTGAAAAGCAGTGCTGCCCAGTGCATTGCTTGCGCCAGTCACGGAGGACTGGCTTCGGAAACTCAATGGTCCAAATGCGCTGAGGCAACGCAGTATTTCTAACATGCATTACGGCGTAAACAATCGCCAACTTCTGAGTCGCTGTGGGTTGCTATGGGTCGCTATGAGTTGCTTGGCCACCATGAGTTGCTTGGCCATGGCAGGCAGACAGTGACCAGGAAGGCCACGACGAAAGTGACGAAGAAACGCCGCTGAGAAGTCTTTCGGCTGGTGCCAGCATTGAGCCCAACAGGTGTGGAACATGGAAGAGCGTCTGAACTTCAGAATCAAATTGAGCATGGTTGAAGTAAAGGTAGAATGTCAGAGAAGCATCGCAGACCCCCTTGCTACGCTTTGACAATACAAGACAACACCTGCAGCCACACTCCGAAAGTTTTCCCCTTGCCTGTGATGTAGTGTCCAGTTGCCCTAGCTGCCCTAGCCGCCCTTCCTCGTGCCCGGAATTCCATCCCGCCCCGCCCGTCAGATATGGAGCGCCTGTGTGATCCTCAGATCCAAAAAAACCTACAAGCACATTAGGTGTTCAATGGTTTTGGAAGACAGCATGGAAACGCACCTGAAAGCAAGAAAAGCATGCCATTGTACAATTGACATTTTTGTTCAATCAAGGTTGACCCGCAAGTGCCAGCAAATTCACCAGAGGCATCTGTGCTGTCGGAGTCGTCTCTGCCACTTAGCCTTAGAGAACACAGAGAATGCACAAATGGACAGAGGGCGCACAGAGAATGCATGAAACAGACCATACACCTAGACGGCGATGGCCGACATAGACCGAATCCAAGAGCGGGGATGGCATGTCAAATCCGTGACAATTGTCAAAGAATGTCAGGGAGGAGAAGGCAAAGGGAAAATGCTACGCACGCCGAATTTCGTAGTGAGCGGGTGGCAATCTTTGCGTCATCCGAAATTTCAGAAAAACCTTTGCACCGAATATTGCGCCACATCCCGCATCCCAGGTCGGTGAAGGATCGATGGGCCAAGGGCAAAGGCACCAAAGAAGATTGGGAAGGTGCCTCATGGCACATCATGGCACATCATGGTGGGGGCACGGGTCAAAAGCAACCAATTTTTAAGAACCAGAGAGAAAATATCCGGAGCAGCCACACCCACACCCACACCCACACCACCCCCCACCCCCACCCCCCCCCACCACCACCACCACCACCACCACCACCACCACCACGACCACGACCACCAACAACTACTAGGAAAATAGCAGCAGCAAGAGCAAAACAAAAAGCAAGAACAACAACATGAACAACAAAGGGAACAACACCACGAACAACAAGATTAATGACACGATGAACAACACCATGAACAACACGTGCAACACAAAACATACAACAGTACTGCACGTACCAGGCAGAATGAAATATTCTAGTTCCAAACTGCTGCAAATATCATGCAAAATGAATGGTTTGCAACATGAGAGGTTTAGCTTCAAAATGCTGCAAATATCTTACGACATGCAAAGTTCCACCTCCAACATGTTGCAAATACCGTGAAAAATGAGAGGTCCTAGTTCCAAAATGCTGCAAATACCATGCAAAATGGGAGGTCCTAGCTCCAAAACGCTGCAAAAAACAAATTCTAGCTTCAAAAAGTGGTAAATACCGCGCAAAATGAATGGCACCAGCTCCAAAATGCGGTAAATACAAGGCGATGGGGAATCCGAACAAGAACCCCCGACAAGCAAAGCTTTGTGACCTGGGCGCCGCCCCGGCTAAATGCCAAAGCCGGGGCCTGCGGATAAATTGCAAACACATGTATACAGATCCAAAAATTATATGTAAATAACTGTAAGTATATTTATATATGTATACACAAAATAACACACGCACACACACACATATATATATACATAATATAAATACATATATAATCATGTATATATATATATATTATACATATGCAATATAATGTATACCTATATAATTATATATAAATATATACAACATATATATATACAATATTAGATATACAATATTGAAAACAAATTAATTATTTCGTACAAGTTAATACCTTAATGTATATGAAATAGAATATAGTATAGTACAACATCTTAAAACAAAATATAGTGTAATACGTATAATTTTAGGTAATTTAATTATACAATACAACATCATATATATTAAACAAATAAAATATAACATCTTTTCTGAATTTAATATATATTTCTTTTATTATATTCAAAATTTGAAACAAATAAATAATATATAATAAAACATATTTTAAAGAATATATTAAATATTTTAACACAATCTAATTTCATTTTGTAAAATCATAGTATATAGTCGCAGGTAATATACAATACACAATTGATTTTCAATCATAATAGTGATGCAACATAAATAACATAAACTAATTAAATTTAAACTGATCTAATATAAGATAGTATAATAGATTAGATAATTCAATATAATAAAACAAAGCTTAATACAAAATAATGCCTTTTGTTGTATAATTTGTGATAGCAGAGTAGAGTAGAATAGAACAGAACGGAAAAGAATGGAATAGAATAGAATATAGTAAAACATCATATGCTACAGAATAATATAGTTTAATCTAATATGAAATGATATAACATATTATAAAATATTTTTATTTGACATTGTACAGTATGAAATAATAGATAGATGCATAGATAGATAGATAGATAGATAGATAGGTACATAGATAGGTAGATAGATAGATAGATAGATACATAGATAGGTAGGTAGACACATAGATAGATAGATAGATTAGATGAGATGAGATTAGATTAGATTAGATTAGATAGATAGATAGATAGATGCATAGATACATAGATACATAGATAGATACATCGATGGATAGTAGAATGTACAAAAGTATAGTATAACATGATTTGATATCATATTATACAACTTGAATGTAGTAAAATTTACGATCATATGACCAACTGCAATTTGATTTATTGTCATCTAATACCTGATATAATATCATTTAATTTTATGTAATATAGTTTAACATAAGTTAGTATATTATAGCATACTAGAATAAAACAAAATATTGTATTATTTATTTCCTTTTTTAAAATAAATCTATTCGCACATGTTGTATCTCTAAATAAACATTAATCCAACCCTAAACTAGCCCCAAACAAACCCTAAACCAACCTCAAAAAAACCTGAAACCACACCTGAATAAACCCCAAACTAACCCTAAATAAACCTTAAACCACAATCAATACATCCCAAACCAACACTGTGACAACATCCATTGTGCCCAACACAGTTCTGTCTGGACCTACGTTTGCGCTCACAAGATACATGTTGTGCCTTGTATACGCCCTGGGTACCATATTCAGACCGGCGGTACACAGGAGAACAATGGAGAACAGGTATTGTCATTTTTTTATTTGTGGTGAGACCTCTTGCAGAGATCTTGCCTGGAAATGTTTTATGGAGAGTTTGTAGGGAATGTTTGCCAAGAGACCTTTTGGTACAGAGAATTTGTGAAGAGAACAGGGATCTTGCTTGGGGATCTCTTGCCGGGATCTTGCGTGGAGACCTCTTATAGACATCTTGTACAGAGACCTTGAATAAAGACCGCTGACAAGGACTTACCACAAAGATCTCGACGAAGAGAACCTACACAGGATCTCTTGCACGGGACCTTCCACAAATATCCTTACAAAGGGGTCTTGCAAAACAACTTCTACAGAGATCTCTGAGATCTCGTCAAAAACATCTTGCGCACGATCTTCTAGAGAGATCTTCGCAAACGGAATTTGTAGAATTTACCCTGCTATCCCTTCGTCGTTTTTCTTGTAACACTGTCTGGAGCCTCTTGCCGGCATAGTTGTTTTGATTGCAGCAAAAATTCGTTTTTTGATGGTTTTTAGGATATTTTATTTTAGGATATATATATATATAATTTTTGTGATGCGCTTGACATATCATGGCGCCACAGCTGCCGTGATGCAAGAGTTCCCAATGAACAGCCACAGGACAGTTCAGTTCTAGCGACAGTTGTCCATGACAGTCTATCAGAAGTGGTTGTGAATCCAATCTGGCAAAGTCAACATGTCAGCCCACATAGGAGTCAGACCTCACAGACTTCCGCGAAACATAATTTGTTTTCTGTCATTTTGTGGAGGAATCGTGTCAGTCCCTGAGGTCTTTTGCATAAAGCCCACATCTTTGTGCTGAGATCCTACTTGGCTCTGTCCGAGAGGGACCCGCAGATCAGGCAAGAATGGGGACACTGGATTTTTGGAACTGTTTGCACAGGTCCAACATATCTCAACACTAGAGTTTTGCACTGATCCCTTCAGAACACACCAGTAAACAAGACTTTGCGGTACAGTTTGCGAAGGTTTGCCAATGTTTGCCCGGACCTATCCGGGTTCAGCCTCAAGTAGCAAGTCAGTTCCGAGTCCTATCCAAGTCCTATCCGAGTCTATCCTCAATGTGTCTTTGACCAAGTCTTGAACGGCACATGGCCGATCTCGCCGATCTGGCCATCCAGGTATGTGGAGGAAGCCACTCGCGCCTTCATTGAAGCCTGGGAACGTGGAAGTTTGGAAGACCCCATCATGACTCAGACAATGTTGACGAAGGTGCCAGAGCAGCACCGTGCGAAAGTGTGGGAACAGAGCGCAGCGAGAGAACGCCGAAGGTGCAGTGCCAGTGCCTGCAGTGCCTGCAGTGCGACCTTTGGTGTTGCCCAGGTACGAAGCCTCTTCAACAGCCACCTCCACAAGGTAGGGCCGGTAGGGCCGGTAGGGCCGGTAGGGATGGGATGATGGGATATGATGGGATCACAGCCTGGACGGCGCGCAGTCATCGTGGTCTGGCCGTGAGGCGTTTGCATGCTTGGACTTCCAAAGTGTGGACGATTTGCTGGCAGCAGTGCTGAGCTCGGTTGAGCTCAGTTGAGCTCGAATGGATCAGACTTCGGAACTACAAACCTGGTTGCACCATGTCGCATAGCTGTTGCACCATGTCGTATGCTGTTGCACCAGAGTTTCCAGGCAGAGAGCAGTGGCGGTTCTGGTGCTCAATTTGGGTGGCTCAGCTGACTATATTATCATATATTAAGTCATACGTCATTAAGTCATATGACTAAACATATTACTTCATACTATATTAATATATGAATGAATAATTAATATTACTAATTTTACTTCATGTTTTGCGAATTGTTTTTTTTCTGGTGCCCTGCTGTTTTTTTTTTACGTTCGTTCAGGCTCCTGGGGCCAGGCATGCAGAGCATGATGCGCCTCGGCTTCGAAAAACATGTTGGATCACTTGTTTTCGGTATCTGATTAGAGATCTCTGTTTTCGGATCTGTTTTCGGCGAATCGTTTTCGGATTTCTTTGATCGTTTTTTTTCCAAACAACTCCTGCTACGACCCCTAGGGCCCTAGGGCTTTGCTGGTCACATCTGGTCATTTTTGATTCTGTCACTAAAGTCACTTTAATATCTTTAATCACCTTTAATCACCTTTAGTCACCTTTAATCACCTTTAATCACCTTTAATCACCTTTAATCACCTTTAATCACCTTTAATCACCTTTAATCACTCTAGTCACTTTGCAGCCAAGGGCGGCCCACAGCCGCTACTTGCTACAGATGGCTATAGCCGTGGGAGACCGCAAGGCCTCGTTCTCGAGCCAAAGCACACGCAAGACTGGCAAGACTGCGCAACACTTCATTGTGCCACTGTATTTCTACCAATTTCTACTTGTTGTATTCAGACATCACCCTGGGATTTTCGGATTTGGAGCTCAACAAAGAGTTAGAATTGGTCTTCAGACTGCAAGGCTTTGGCCCTTGCACTGGCGGGAACCTTAGACTTATCCGACCCCACAGCGCTGCAGCCCTTAAAAGTGCGTAGTGCAACGTAGTGCAACGTCTTTGGTGTCACTGAATCGCAATGTTTAAGTTCTCCAGCATCTTGTTTCAGATCCGCTCTTATCCTCGGTTTTCATCTTGTCATTTGTTGCGAAACCGCTTCCATTTTCGATTGTCGCAGACTGCTTAGCACTGCTTAGCACTGCTAGTTGTGTTTGTTCTGTTTATTGTGTTCGTGGAATGCGCGCAGTGCGCGCAGGTGGAGTCCAGTCGCCTCGGAGAGGTTGCAGTTTCGAGTCCGAATTGGCGATCCATTTCCGACTCCGACTGTTCCGACTGTGACTCCCGTATTTCGATCCAAAGTCCTTCAAAGTCTCAAAGATGTCTCAAAGATGTCTCAAAGATGTCTCAAAGATGTCTCAAAGATGTCTCCCGATCCCAATGATCCCAATGAACACCATGTGAACATCGACTTGACTCTGATGGAGTTGACATTCCACAGGGTAACAGAGAACATAGAGAACGATAGGTCCGATAGGGCAGAGAGAGTGACAGCATCCAAACCAAACTGCAAGGAGTTGACAGCCGCCCCAAAGCGCACGGAGGACAAACTCGACAAACTCAAGATCCAATTTTTGAAAATCTTCCAGTTTCTTTTTGATTTGTTAGAGTTTTCATGACCTGGCCAGAACAGCTCCGACGGCAAGTATAAGATCAGAACAAGCCTGCAAAGCACCAATGTCTAATTTCTGAACACAGAAGAACCCTGCAGCAACAGTCAGCTTAAAGGTGGCAGAAGATGAGGCTTGCTTCAAACATGGACAATGTTGACAATGTTTTGTGCTTCGACAATGTTTCCACGACTGAAGCGCGTCCAATCTTTCTTCAAAGGAGCCTGCAGCACCTTCGGAAAAGCCTGTTAGCTTGAAAGTAGCAGAAGAGGAGGCTTGCTTCAAACATAGAGCGACTGCCAATGTTGACAATGTTTTGTGCTTCGACAATGTTTCCACGACTGAAGCGCGTCCAATCTTTCTTCAAAGGAGCCTGCAGCACCTTCGGAAAAGCCTGTTAGCTTGAAAGTAGCGGAAGAGGAGGCTTGCTTCAAACATGGAGCGGCTGCCAATGTTAACAATGTTTTGTGCTTCGACAATGTTTCCACGACTGAAGCGCGTCCAATCTTTCTTCAAAGGAGCCTGCAGCACCTTCGGAAAAGCCTGTTAGCTTGAAAGTAGCAGAAGAGGAGGCTTGCTTCAAACATGGAGCGGCTGCCAATGTTGACAATGTTTTGTGCTTCGACAATGTTTCCACGACTGAAGCGCGTCCAATCTTTCTTCAAAGGAGCCTGCAGCACCTTCGGAAAAGCCTGTTAGCTTGAAAGTAGCGGGAGAGGAGGCTTGCTTCAAACATGGAGCGGCTGCCAATGTTAACAATGTTTTGTGCTTCGACAATGTTTCCACGACTGAAGCGCGTCCAATCTTTCTTCAAAGGAGCCTGCAGCACCTTCGGAAAAGCCTGTTAGCTTGAAAGTAGCGGAAGAGGAGGCTTGCTTCAAACATGGAGCGGCTGCCAATGTTAACAATGTTTTGTGCTTCGACAATGTTTCCACGACTGAAGCGCGTCCAATCTTTCTTCAAAGGAGCCTGCAGCACCTTCGGAAAAGCCTGTTAGCTTGAAAGTAGCGGGAGAGGAGGCTTGCTTCAAACATGGAGCGGCTGCCAATGTTGACAATGTTTTGTGCTTCGACAATGTTTCCACGACTGAAGCGCGTCCAATCTTTCTTCAAAGGAGCCTGCAATACCCTTGGGCAAGATAGTCGGCTTAGATGTTGTGGCGCAGGACGTCTTAATTTCAGACTGTGTCAGAAACATTTGCATGCGGGGGTTATTTTCAGCAGGACCCCCTGGAAAGCAGCAGCTTGCTTAGTTGGTGGGGCGTTCCGACGATGTGTAGGTAGGTCCAGCCAGGGTATATGACGATGCATGTGAGATACCAGAGGTAACTTTAGCAGTAGTCAGTAGTACCGCACAAGGCGGTGGCGGAAGTTTCAAAAATAGGAAACCTATAGGAGAGGTTGGTTGTTGTGAATCACGAATGGCAGAGCGAATCCACTGATGGACCGAAAGGTGTTTGGAGTTGTGTCTTTTGGAGTGGTTGCAATGGTTGCAGTGGTCACCTGGTCGGTCACCTCACTCAAAACTGCTGGATGTAGTGTGGTGTAGTGCAGCTGTAGTTGTAGTTGTAGTGTAGTGGAGCTGTAAAAGTGGTGTAGTCACTACACCGGTGTAGTGTAATTAGTGTAGTGTAGTTGCAGTTGCATTTGTGGTGCTGTAATGAGTGTAGCGTAATGTAATGTAGGGTAGTGTAGTGTAGTCTGTGTAGCGTAGTGTAAAGTAGCGTAGTTGTAGCTGTAGTTGTAGTTAGCGTGTGTACTGTGGTGTGGTGTGGTGTAGTGTAGTATGGTGTAGCGTAGTGTAGCGCAATGTAATGTAATTAGTGTAGTGTAGCCGTAGTTGTAGTTGTAGTTGTAGTTGTAGGTGTGGTGTAATTGAGTGTAATTCAGTGTAGTGTAGTGGAGTGTAGTGTAGTGGAGTGTAGTGTAATGTAATTAGTGTAGTGCAGTGTAATTAGTGTAGTTGTAGCTGTAGCTGTAGTTGTAGTGATAATGTAATTGAGTGTAGTGTAGCGTAGTGAAGTGTAGTGTGTAGTGTAATTAGTGTAGTGTAGCGCAGTGTAATGTAATATAGTGTAGTTGTAGTTGTAGGCTATCGGCTGGCTCGCCGCCCTGGAAGGGTTGTCATTTTTTGCGATTGTTCACTTCAATGTTGTGCAAGGTATGCTGGTACTGTGGGGTGGGGTGGGGCTAAAAACGTTCCTAGGCACTTGCACACCAAGATGATGCTACGTTGGAGATGGGGTGTGGCGGGGTGGGGCTGATGGAACATGTTGCTACGCTTGCGCATGTTGTTACCATACGTGAACCTGGAACATAGGTTGGTGTTCCGCTGATGGAACGTGTTGCTACGCTTGCGCATGTTGTTACCATACGTGAACAGAAGTTTGATGTCACACTGATGGCACAAACGACAGCAATTTGTCAAAAAAAACCGAGTGAAGTTCAAGAACCGCTTTGTTGTCGCAGGCACCCAGCAACTCGACTCCACACGGAAAGTTTTGCAAACATGGAAGCCGATCGCTTTTGCCCAAAAAGACAAATCCCATGGTGGAACCAACGAAAATCATTGGAAATGGGCGCGAAGCTTCCAATTGAGGCATAGTCGCATAATGCTCCCATCACTGGTTCAATCTTGGAAGAACTTCCCGCATGCTTGTGGCAGAGTTGATAAAAAAAAGATGCGCCCAAGCCGTAAGGACATGGAATTTCTTGATGAAGAACAATTTCCAAACCTTTTTTTCCCAGCGTGATAAAAAACGATCGTTTCGCTAGCACGAAATACCATTTTCTCAATTTTGAATTGGCCCACGCAGTACAAAATGACACTCTCAAAATGCCTTCCCGGCATGAAAAGTGTAAAAACCACTGGGTTTTAAGCATTTCACCTTGCGAGTGATGAAAAAAACTTGCGAACAGTTGCAGGGCGGCGAGTCAGCCGATTCCCTAGTTGTAGTTAGTCTAGTGCAGTGTAGTGTGATTGAATGTAGTGTAGTGTAGTGGAGTGTAGTGGAGTGTAGTGGAGTGGTGGTTGTAGTTGAAACAGCTACAAAACCCTCAGGTTTTGCTCACCTTTGGCAAGGTGCACAATCCCTTGCGCCTGCCATGCGGAACGTGGAAATGTGCTTCGTGCCACAACGGCGTGCACTTTTTCGACATCTCAACTTCCAAAAGTGCTCCCAAGCTGGTGTGCTTTGCGCATTTTGACTTGGAAATGTGCTTCGCGCCACAGCGGCGTGCACTTTTTCGACATCTCAATTTCCAAAAGTGGTCCGGGAATGGTGTGTTTTGTACATTTTGACTTCGAAATGTGCTTCGCGCCACAACGGCGTGCAATTTTTCATCTCTCATCTGGCCGATGGCCCCGCACCCGCTACTTTAGCAAGCCTACTTTTCGACTCTCCGGAGCCACAAACCATTGGAAAAACACAATGAATCGCGACTTTTCTACCTTTTCGCGCACCTGCATCTTCTCTTCTTTGATCTTCTTTCTGCTGCTGTTCTCTTCGCTGACTCTTACCACCTCTGCTTTTCCATTTGTCCACATTGTCCGAAGTTTGACTTCTAAACTTCCTTCGATGAGCTGATCTGTGCAAAAGAGGTAAAAGAATCCAGAGCAGTGCATTGCTCCAATGACAATGGCTCAGGTGCTCGTTGAAACGGGAACAAATCAAGGTTTGCAAACGTATGTTGAGGCGACATTTGCCGAGCACCGCCGGCACCTTCACCTTCTCTCCATGGCAATTTGTCCAGCAACTTGGTCTGACCAGATTGGAGCTCTTAATTTTTCCAAAGCTGTCAGGTAAGGGTGTGTGGATATGTTTGGATTTTGTGCCAGCTCCTGCCTCCATTTCCTTGCTTCCTCAAATAGCCCGCAGACTTGGTGTGCCCCATCGTTGTATGCCCGACCGGACCCAGCCCCGGACCCCAGATACTTTCACTATCTTTCACTGTACCCGCGGACCTTGACCCGTGTGCCCCGGAACCGGACAACAACCTCTGGCGTGCTTGCTCTGACCAAACCTCACGCCTGCACCAAGCTCCCGCACTCCACTCACTCCGTTCACTCCATTCACTCCATTCACTCCATTGGTCCATTGTTATTGGTCCATGTGCCCGTTGTGGCCGCATACCTATCGGGCTCTGCGCAACTCTGCGCGCCCGGGCCTCCTCTTAGGTTGACTTGTTGGCCTCTTAAGTCTTCCGGTGGCGGAGTTGTGTCCACAGGCCGCCCCTTTATTCTTTGCAAATTCACTTCAAAGTTCACCTCGTTGAAAGCAGCTGGGGCGTCCCGTTTCTTCCACAACTTCCTGGAACATCCAAGTCTGCAACCTTGAGGCATCTGAGGCGATAGTTTTAACCTTGTGCATCCACAGCATGTCTGACATGGGCCGAAAGAAGAGCTGTGCGTTTCAAACATTTTGCGATGCTGAGCCAGGCCATGCCTGGAAGGACTTTTGGCTCTGGTACCTGGTGATCCGTTTGCGTGGAAGGTGCGGTGCTTCGTTTGCCTCAAGTCGGCTTTTCATGGCAGGCGCAGTAATTGTGAAAAAGTGCCCGCAAGATCAAATACTCTGTTCACATTTTCAAGTTTCATCTTCTGTGACGCGTGCAATATGGTATGGTCGCGCGACCTTCTTGGTATTGAGTGGGTGTTGGATTGCTCTCGTTGTGGCGCAGTGCTGATTTGAGTTTTGTATGGTATGAAAAGCTTCTAGAGGCCCGTTCCAGAAGGCCTTGCAAAGTCCCAAGGTCATGAAGATATCCTGCAAAATCCTGTAAGAGGTGCTTGAACGACTGCTCTTGTGGGATGCTGTTGGAGGTTCGCGCGCGAAGATCTTGCAAGATCCTCTTCAAGGTTCTTGTACGTATGACGATCGTGCCACATTCTCTTGGAGGTTCTTGATTGAACATCTTCTAGAGGTCCTTGTAAGATCTTGCGGAGATCTGCTAAAGCCCTGCGAAAGCTCGTTCTTGTCAAAAAGTTTTGTCAACACATGCTCTCCTCAGCGCTGTTTGGGGTCTCTTGCCAGGATAATTTTCGCTGTAGAGGCGGGCGCCGGAGGCTTACCAGTAGGAGCAAGTGCAGCCAGCATTCATATAGAAATACAAGAACACTTGTCAGGGACATTTCCCGACGTCTCCCGACATCTCTCGACATCTCTCGACATTGCCCGACGTCTCCCGACGTCTCCCGACATCTCTCGACATATCTCTCGACATCTCTCGACATCTCTCGACATCTCCCGACGTCTCCCGACGTCTCCCGACATCTCTCGACATATCTCTCGACATCTCTCGACATCTCTCGACATCTCGCGACATCTCTCGACATCTCTCGACATCTCTCGACATCTCCCGACATCTCTCATTCTCTTGGCACGGTTTTCTTTTGACACCCATTTTGACAATCCTCGGTCTGTCTTTCTCTTGACAAGTCTTTCTCTTGAAATTTCTTCTCTTTTGAACCCTCTTTCTTTGGATGTTTCTTTCTATTGACATCTCTTGCTCTTGACACCTTGCTCTTTTGATGTTTGTTTCTCCTGAAACTCCTCTCTTTCTGTTGGCAGCCCTTTACCTAGACACAAGAATCTCGACGCAGCGCTGACACTGCGCAAAGCAACATAAAGCAACCTGGCACTTGCAAGACATTGCAAGACATTGCAAGACGCAATAATGATGTGACATGATTTGATGTGAAGCGAAGATATGGTCTGAAGTGGTGATGGTGAAGTGTGCACTTAGACTTAATCCCCGAGATTTCTCTTGATGCCGGTGTGGGCCACACGAAGTAGAGTAATTGTTTGAATATCTTTGAGTGCCTTTGGATGCCCAGCCCCCAGCTGTTTGTAGCTGATTGTTTCTGTGGCCCTCAGTCTTCTAACCTTTGTCTTGTCGTGTTTGGGCCCTATAACTCAGGAGGTGTGTCCTTTGTGGAAGAGGAGACGCCTGAGCAAGCTTCCGGGCAAACATCTGAGATGAAGCTGGTGGGAGGCCCCCTGCTCTGTAGACCTAACGGGTGATCTATCAGAATCACTAAGATTATCATCCAGATTGTCATCAGATGATCCAGGTGATCCATGGGAACCATTGCAGAAAACCAACAAGGGTGGCCATGGGCTCAGAAAGCGTGGAGACATGTGGAGACCTTCATGTGAGCCCATGAGACTGAGATGTATTGAGAATTAACGTGAGTTGAACATGACTGTTGACTTGCAGTTCTGTCAAGGTCTTGGAGAAATGGCCAGCCTGAGCTTCTCTCAGCTGCTGCACATGGCCCGGACCATGTGCCCTTATGCATCCTAAAGTGGAATCCATAATATGGAATCTACGTGGGCCATGTGGAACCATGCCCGGATCAAGAACATGAATACATCCCATGTAGAAGAGTCGATGCTGTTGACACGTGGCCTTATGGCTGGATGGTTTGTTGTGGAAGTCCTTGGTGTGACACCGCTTTTATAGGGAGGGCCATTTATTTTAGTTGGGGGATTCCTGCTTTTCTGATTTTCCCGCTTCTTTGCTCTTTTGCTTTTCTGCTTCTGCGCCTTTCTACTTCTGCTTTTTCTTGTTCTGCAGTCGTGCATTTTTGCTGCTCTACTTCTTGGGGTAGGGGGGAAAAATAACTATTCTGGATCAGAAAAAGTTAATTATTCCGGATCAAACACAAATGTATATAGATATTATATGAAAAGAATAGGAAAAGAAGGAAGGACGGACGGACGGAGAACATCATAGAATAATATTCATATATTTACACAATCATTTTTTACATAAAAGCATATTTAAGTATCCACGTGCGCATATTTGTAGGTACTTTATTTGCCCACATTGTATCCCCAAAAAAACCGTAAAGCCAACCTCAGACAAACTTTGACTGGGTCTTACACCTTGAGCAAGAACCTTGAGCCAACTTTAGGAACACCTTCCGCCAAATTTAGTAGCAGCAGCAGCAGCAGCAGTAGTAGTAGTAGTGGTAGTGGTAGTGGTAGTGGTAGAAGTAGTAGAAGTAGTAGAAGTAGTAGAAGTAGTAGAAGTAGAAGTAGTAGTAGTAGTAGTAGTGGTGGTGGTGGTGGTGGTAGTAGTGGTAGTGGTAGTGGTAGTGGTAGTGGTAATGGTAGTGGTAGTGGTAGTGGTAGTGGTGGTAGTAGTAGTAGGAGGAGGAGTAGTAGTAGTAGTAGTACAATATTCACCTGGCAAAGTATAGATCATTTTAAAATAGTACAACTGACTGTATAACGTATTCAAGTATATGCATGTATACAAAATGATTGATGATGTAAAGTAGCGTGGCCTTCCCTTGAGAAAGTAGCCTTCACTATACAGAGCAGTCCTTATGAAATAGTATTGTGTGTTTAAAATTCTTTTACAAAAGGGGTCCTTTCATATAGACAACATTCCATTTGAAAGAGTGTGGTATTTTTTTCAAGAAAGTGCATTATTGTAGTATGATTCTATGGGATTGTCATTTGAATAAACATAGTAACGTATTCCTCGCAGAAAATATAGCATTATTTTGAAATAGTATTCTCCAATCAGCAATTGTTCTTTAAAAAACATTTGCATTCCTGAGGACAGCGCGACATGTTTTTTTGGTAAGTTTCCCGGCAAATAATGTAATATTGTCTTGATCAGTTGAAAAGAGTGTGGCACCCCTTGCTTAGAGACTACAGAAACAGAGCCACCCCATCAGAAAATAAAAATTGAGGCCTTCCCCCTCCAGCAGGTAAAAAATAAGGGCTGCCCAATCCAGATAATACAAAATGATCTTCTGCTCCCCCTCCCCCCGAAACCAAAAAAATAGAAAAAACAAAACTATCACCTAAACCCAAATTTATCCTGGATTTTTTTTTGGTTTTGGTTCCAGATGAGGCCCAATGACTTGCACTTCAAGCCAAACATCTGGAAAGAATGTGGAACTTCAACCAAAAACATTTAGAAGGAATGTGGAAACAATATGAAGAAATATACACACCTGGAGAGAATGTGGAAGGAATGTTGTAAGCCTGTGCTTCACAATATTTGTTGGTGATATATGTAGCCCACAAACACCCGAAAAACACACTGGTTCACAGTGTTCCTTTCTGTATATACATATATTGTTATATATTATATGTATTTTTATTTGTATTTATCGAAGGAAGTTTAGAAGTCAAACTTCCGACAATATGGACAGATGAAAAGCAGAGCTGGGCAGACGCAGAGAGAAGAGGAGAGCAGAAGAGAGAAGATCAGAGAAGAGAAAGAGTCAGAAGAAAGAAGATGCAGATGCGCGAAAAGGTAGGAAAGTCGTGAAACACTATGTTTTTCCAAAGATTTGTGGCTCCGGAGGGTCGAAAAGTAGGCTCGCTAAAGCGGCGGGTGCGGAGCCATCTAGCCAGATGAGAGATGAAAAAGTGCACGCCGTTGTGGCGCGAAGCACATTTGTAACTGAAAAAGCTAAAAACACGTCACGTTCGGACCACTTTTGGAAGTTGCGGTGTCGAAAAAGTGCACGCCGTTGTGGCGCGAAGCACATTTCGAAGTCAAAATGTACAAAACACACCATTGTTGGACCACTTTTGGAAGTTGAGATGTCGAAAAAGTGCGCACCGTTGCGGCGCGAAGCACATTTCCAAGTCAAAATGTACAAGGCACACCATTCTTGGACCACTTTTGGAAGTTGAGATGTCGAAAAAGTGCACGCCGTTGTGGCACGAAGCACATTTCGAAGTCAAAATGTTAAAAACACTAGGGGTTCGGACCACTTTTGGAGGTTCAGATGTCGCTTCGCGTGGCAGGCGCAAGGGATTGTGCACCTTGTCAAAAGTGAGCAAAACGTGAGGGTTTTGTGGCATTTTCAACTACAACCACCACTACACCACACTACAGTACATTCCAATATATTACACTACACTACAACTACAACTACAACTACACCTTCACTACATTCTACTACACTACACACCACTACACTACACCACTCAATCACACCCAATTACACCACACTACATTACACTACACTACACTACATTCCACTACACTACACTACACTCCTCTACACTACACTCCACTACACTGCACTACACTACCTTCCACTACACTACATTGCACTACACTCCACTACACTACAACTACAACTACACAACTACACTCTACACTAAATTACACTACACTAAATTACACGACACTATACTACACTACAGTACATTACACTACACTACTTTCCACTACACTCCACTCCACTCCACTACATTACACTACACTACATTCCACTACACTACAGTACACTACACTCCACTACACTACACTCCACTACACTACACTAACTACAACTACAACTACAAATACAACTACAATACTACATTTACACTACGCCACACTACACTACACTGAATGACACTGCACCACAGATAGACAGGTAGACAGATAGACAGACAGACCGATATAGATAGATAGACAGATAGACAGGTAGACAGATAGACAGATAGACAGATAGACAGATAGATAGATACACAGATAGACAGATAGACAGGCAGACAGATAGACAGATAGATAGATAGATAGACAGATAGACAGGTAGACAGGTAGACAGATAGACAGATAGACAGATGAAAGAGAGAGAGAGCGATAGATAGATAGATCGATAGATAGATAGACACATAGAAGATAGATAGGTAGGTAGGTAGATCGTCAGAGAAAGAGAGAGAAAGAGAGGAGACCTCAAGCACCTTTCGGTCCATCAGTGGATTCGCTCTGCCATCCGTGATTCACAGCAACCAACCCCTCCTATAGGTTTCCTATTTTTGTGAAACTTCCGCCACCGCCTTGTGCGGTACTACTGGTATACTGTATATCACACATATATAATTGTATATATATATATATATGCATATTTAACATTATTTACACGCGCGCACCGATCCCTAAGTAAACCTAATCCAAGCCTAAAGCAACCGTAGACAAACTTTAAAAAGACCCTATACAGACCCCCCAAGAAACCTTAAACAAACCCCAAATAGACCCTAAAGCAACCAGCAATGAATCCTTAGCCAACCCGAAATGGATTCATGTTTGGGATAGCTGCTCCAAGTGGCAATCTAGACCAAGCATCAAAGTCTATTTCTGACAGGAATAATTTTTTTTGATGCCTTCGACTGGCCAGCTAGAGCATTTCGATCCCCCCCGTTGCCTGATGAAAAAAAACATATATCCAACCCACCTGTGGAATCTATTTCTGTAGGTTTTTTGCTATCCGTGTTTTAATTTTTTTGATCTGGAATATATATTTTTGATCCCTCACTCGCTCCCTGCTCCTGTCTCTTTGTTTTGCTTTATTCTCGCCTGTTTGTATACTTCTTACCTTTCGTGGTTCTATGCTGCACAAGTATTGGCTTCCAACTTCCAAAAAACATATTTTTTTTTGAGGTCCACACCCCTGCGCTACCAACATCACAACAACCACAACAATCACAACAACCAGAACAATGACAACAAACATGTAGCAAAACCATGCAACATGAAAGGGTCAGGTATATACCAACATGTAGCAAATACCATGTAAAAGGAATGTTTGAAGTACGCACCAACATACAGCAAATATCATACAAAATGAGCGGTTGAAGTGCCACATATATAGCAAATACCGTGCAAAATGGAAGGTGAACATGCCAAAATGTAGCAACAACCATGCAAAATGATAGGTTCTAGTTCCAAGCTGTTGGAAATACAAGGCAGATGGTACCAAGAAAAAAATCACACAAAAATCCCAAAGCTGATCAAAAAAAACTTAAAACTATTTTTCAACCCTATAGTCTGATCAGCAATGTGGTCCCGCTCTGGAAATAGCGTCGTTTCAGGTACCGAGAGAAACTTCTCCAAGACTCACGGCAATTGCTGCTGTCCGAAGCAGCACGTGAGCTCCTTGGTGATGGCCATGACAGCATCGGCGAGGCGCCGTGTGCGGCGCATTCTGCACCTGTCGCGGCGTGTACCTTTCGGGAACTCAATTTTTGAACGTACTCAAAACCGGGACATGTTCTGAGCATTTGTATCTGAACAAATTTGAATTCTCGATTTTTTTTCCCCTTAGCATTCCCTAGCCCTTGGGATTGGTTGTTTTGGATGCATATAATTCGCACAATTTCCAGGAAGAGCACCCAAACGGACCGTGGCTGCATGATGCATGACTGATCTGAAGTTGCGACTTCTTGCAACATCACAGTCATCCGAGTCATCCGTGAATCATCCGTGAATCATCACCATCCCGGACCATCCCCATTATCATTTGTCATCATTTGTCCCACACGCAAAGGACGCAAGAAGGTGGCGCAGACCACTGCCCCAAAGACATCCAAAGACAATTTGTGATGTCGGCACTTGTCGGCCATTCTTTTGATGTGTGTTGCCCTTGCAGTGGTTCAATGGTTCCTGTCTTTTCAGTTTCAGTTCTCATATCCAACTTTTCAGTTCTTCGTTCTCCCTTTTTTCATTTTTTTTCTCTGTTCCTTTGCATCCCATTGCATCCCATTGCATCCCATTGGTTTTTCAGATTCAAGATTCCCATGATTCCCTCCTAAAACGCGTAATTATAGTGTGTACAGTTTTCCTGGTACCTATCCTGCGGGTGGCAGGATTTTGGGGTCGGCCATGGCGCCTTAGTGAATCCTCGTTTTCGGCTCGGGCATGTATCACAGGGTTGTCTCTGTGTCCGAGTTTTGTCATAATGGTTGCAGGTCGCAGGTGCTTTGAAAACGAGAGGCAGAACATGTATGATACACTTTTGGCACCTTTGGGCCGATTTAGCATGTGAAAGGGAGACGCATGGGTCCAGGGGCTCTGCAAATTATCAAGCCCCCCTCCAAAGAAGTTTAAGGATGATACTGCAAAAAAGGAAAGGCGTCAATCTGACCCACCTTTGCAAAATTGGGTTTGTGAGCAAGAAAGATTGAATGAATTTGAATACCCTTGGAATACCCTTGATAGTGGTCACATGTGGTCACTCTTTTATTGCCCACGGAACACGGGCCACGTTGGGTCCGTTCTCCAGAGGCACGGGCTGCAACCTGCATGAAGGCTAGCAGCGGCTAGCATGTTAGGGTACCTGTGTCTTTTTCTGTTCAAGAAGGCGCTTATATAACTTATATATATATATATTCACTTTGATTTCCCTTTCAACTGTGATAATTAGTATTAGAAACGAACACGCATACAATTTATAAACAAAACGCAGGGCATGTGCCATCCCAGAAAAGTCGTTCAGCGCATGTTCTTTCCATATTCTTGGTATGGTGCATTTGGGCGTTCTGTGGGACTCATTGTCCGCAGGAAGATGGCTGTTTTGGATAGAAAGATCGAAGCATGGAACGTTTTCTCTAGTTCATGTTTAGGGCAGTGCTTCAACTGTAAGACCTTATATAACTTATATAATCAGGTAGAATCCGCAAGCGCCAGAGTGAACTGGTCCTACGCATGATTTTTCAACATAACAAGGTGATTCAGACAGCAGTTACATGGCAGGCTCTGGATTTCAGACATGCATTGCAACATCGTCCCATTTTTGCATGTGGGTTTTAACTCGGACAGCTTCTGTGTGCAACGGGCACAATGCATGTGGGTCTAGACCAGTTGCCACATAATCGGATGCGTCTCCCTGCCGCCTGTTGGGTGAACATGTTCCCAACGGACATAGAGAGGAGCACCTACCACCTCATGTTTAGAGGTTTAGAGAAGTGAGAGCAAACTGAAGAGTCTGGCTCTTGGGGATTGCGTACAGTGTCAAAGATCTGACAAGAAACCCAAGACTTGAAGTGAGCCAAGTGCGTCATAGGCGCAGGACCAAACCCAGGACCAAAAGCAGCAACTGTATGGAGAATTTTGGGGTACATTCCTTTTATTAGGGTGGTGTTTCAGAGTCGTGTATGGGGTGACAGGTAAGGTGGAAACAGTTAATTCTGGTTGATTCTGCTTGTAGTCATGTGCTGCTACTCTTCCTCCTCCTACGACTGCTGCTGCTGCTGCTGCTGCTTTCCTACTGACAATTTTTAATTTCATAAATTTTGCAAAGGTTGTGGCTCCTCCAAAACCAAGCCTGAACCAGTTTCAAACGGCTCTGAAACAGCACCATTTGAAGGATTTATGGTCCGGCCTGCTTCCGAGTCAGACTTGTTCTGTTTCATTGTTAAAGAATTAAAGGACCGGAGAACCCCACATGTCAACTTCTTCCAATGGCAAAAGAAAGGTGAAGACGGGATGGAAAGGCAGGAAAGAGAAAGGAGATGGTGGAAGACAGATCGAGTGAGAGAGTTCTGTGTGAGAAGGTTGTGTGTGAGCAAGTTGTGTGTGAGAAAGTGTGTGTGAGTTGCGTGGAGATGGTGGAAGACAGATCGTGTGAAAGAAAATACGTATGAGAGAGTTGTATGTGAAAGAGTTGTGTGCGAATTGTTGTGTGGCATGTGTGGCCAAAGACACTTGCGCCAAGACCATAGAGAGCGGTCTTGGCAACTCCTTGACTTGGCTGCAAAAGCATTGTTGCAGACAGGCTGCTGCCCGGAGCGTCATGAAAGTTGACGGTCTGTCCAGGTGTCTGCGGCAAAGGTGTCCGCCTGCCGTCACCGCGGTGTTCGAACGTCTTTCCCACTGACATGACGATTTCGAAGCCGACACAAAGGTGTTCGACCAAAGTAATAAAAGAAATATAAATTAAGTTAAAGTATGAGAAACGTATGAGAAAAATTGAGAAAAGGTGTTCCAGTGAAAAGTTCCGGGAATGCTTGAGCATGGCAATTGTCTCTTCAGACAGCCGTTGAAGACTATTTTTTGGATGTGGATCTGCATCATCCGGCCGAGAAAGGGCAAATAGGGCAATCCAAGACAGTGTGGAGGGCTAGGGGTAACTCTATCCAGTTTTTGTCCTGAAATATTGTAGAATGAAATGCCTTCAATAACATAAGTAAGTCCATGACGAAAACCTCATATTCCATTGTTGCAAAACATCTTTAGTGGGCCATGCCGGAGAGTAGCTCAGCTAGGGCTAAACATGCAAACGCTTGTCACCATTTGTCGCACATTTCCAGGAACTGTTAATAAAACTGAAAACAGCCCCCTGTAAGAGGGGACAGGTGACCATGGCCACATGTAGCCGCATTTCTCATGGTCCCCGTCACATTTGAGTATTGACGATCTTTGGACCGGGACCATGAAAATCAAAGATTTGTAGCTCTCAAACTGTAAGATCTTGTCCCCAGAAATTGTGCTTTAAATGGCCCAAGGGTCCCCTCCTGCTTTGCCAAGTATGTACATTACTCAATAGATTGTTTTTTTGCGGAAATATCTTCTCATCGAACCGAGTAGGACCCTCAAGTGCAAGCCCACGGATGTGTCAACATTGTGTAAACTATTCTGGACTGTTCTTATGTTCACTGCTCAAGGCCTACAGGTGTGTATCAGGTGTGTATCAGGTGATCAGGTGTGTAATGAGTGATCCTGCGTGGTCCCCACGGCGTTCGGGGATTTGCTGTGACCCTGCCAGTCATGGATGAGACAGCAGCTGGCAGTGATGCGCGCAAAACAGGCGGGTGCGCCGCATGTCGCATGTCCTGAGGCAGTATCAGCTTAGTATGAGGTGCTTGGATCACCCAATATGACAGAATATGACATCCAGTTCTTACGAAAGCCAGCCGATAGGCATGGCTTAGTTGTTGGTTGCGAATGTAGTGAGTTAATAGGTCGTTTGGGGGCAGTCCGTGGCAATTGCGGATCAGAAGGTAGAAATACAATTGATTTGAATGGACATGGGGTGGACGCGGGATGCCTTTTTCAGGATCATGTGCCAGGTGGCAATTTAGTGATGGTAGGGCTTCGATTTATTTTGCTCCGCAGCTGTGGGAGTCTGGGGCAGCAGTAACTCAGCCAGGGCACAGCGAAAAAGAAGGCCGAAGTAAATATGACAGGGGTCCCAAAACCGGGCTTTGAGAGTATCGGATTATCGCTTGCGTTGGGGATCGCTGAAGCGCGTTTACGGCCAAAAAGAAGGCCCGAGTAAATATGAGTAAATTTATGGGAGATGTCTTGGCGATTATTTCTTGCTTCCGTTTGGAGACCGTTTCTTGCTTCTGTCCGTGATTTTGGCAATGTTGGTTCAGAAAGAAATAGAATAAGCAAACTACGTCATGCTTGGATTGTTTTTTTTTTCATGTTCCCTGTTGGAGGTTGTTGAAGCTCAACAGGTTCTGCGGCGCATCATGCTTGACTCTGCTTGACTTTTGATGGATATGATACCGAAAGCCAGCCGACAGGCACGGCTTAGTCACTTAGTCTTAGTTGTTGGCTGCGAACGTAGTGAGTTTAGGGGGTCTGGGGGCATGCAAATACAATTGATTTATAAGGGATATGGGGTTGGACGTGGGAGGCCTTTCCCAGGGTCATGTACCAAGTGGCAGTTTGGTGTAGGGCTTCGGCTCCCCCCTGGTCCGCAGCTTGTGGGCGGCGTCTTGAGCAGTAACTTGCCCAGTGCCCAAAGCTTTCACAGCGAAAAAGAAGGCCTAGGTCCTAGGTAAATATATGTAAATATAGTACATTGCTTTGTATATGTATGTCTGAGAGGGATCCCGAAACCGGGCTTCAAGCCCATCGCTTGCTTCCGTCCGGGAGTCTGGCCTTTGCTGAAACGCCTTTTCAGCCAAAAAGAAGGTCCAAGTAAATATAGGACATGTAGACAGCGAGCTCGACACCGATATTCGAGACCATTTCATGCTTCTGTTCGGAGACCATTTCTTGCTTCCGTTCGAGATCTTAGCAAATTGCTGGAATGCATGGTTGCTCAACGGATTCTGCGGCATTCTGATGGATTTTACCTTTGGGTCTGTTGTGGTTAGCGTGAAGGTTGCGGTGTTGGTTCAGAAAGAAAGGGAATAAGCAACAGACCTCATGCTTGTTGATGGATTTTATGTTCACTGGTGGAGGTTGTCGAAGCTCAACAGGGTCTGCGGCAGGTCATGCTTGAACTTTTGATCAGCACGTAGTAAAAGCACATATTGTAGACATAAATTGGACCATGAAGTTTGGGCGCAGAAGCGAGTTGTATTTTTTGTGGGGCAATGGTGGTTGCAATATTTGATTTTTATATATTTTTATGTTGGGTTTGGGTGATGGGAATTCCTTGCTGCTCTGCACAAGCGTCACTGGTGGAGGTGGTCGAAACTCAACAGGTTTGCCTGTAAGTCACGTCTACCACCGCTTCGCACACTCCGGCCCCACGCGTTTAAAGAAAACGCCGGTCTTCTGCTTACGGTGGCTTTCGTTCCCTCCATCTCAGGTATCTAGCAACCAGTTGCGTTTATCTACAAATAGCATCTAGCTGCATCTGTGACATCTAGTTTCCTCTGGTGACGGCTATTCACAGCACATCTAGCGACACCTAGTGACGTTTATTGATGTCTGCTTACAAGTAAGTATATCTAGATCGATCTGGTGACATGGTTACCACTACTTTCATCTGGTGACTTGCAAGTGACATTTGGTTACAATGTTACAGGTAGTTACATCCAGTGGCATCTACGAACAGCTAATGAACCCTGCGTACAAATAGTTGCATCTACTTCAATTACTTCAAGCTAGTGGCATGTACTTGTGACCGATTATATCTGAAACCATCTCATGAAAATCTATCTATTACATTAACTTTCCATCTAGTTACGTCTGGTTCCATCTACTAGTTACGCCTAGTAACATGTGGTTACAGCTTGGTACACCTAGTGACACATACTTGCCGCTAGTAGCACCTAGTGATCTGTAGTGTCATCTAGTGAGGTGTTGTGTGGTGATATCTGTTGACATGTGATTTAGTTTCATGCAGTTACATCTAGCATCCAGTGACGCCAAGTGACATCTAGTGGCATCCACTTACAACTAGTCGCATCGAGTGACATCCAGAGACATTTACTTGCAACAATTGCCATACAACAGATTAAATCTAGTGACGTTTAGTGACATGCAGGGCCAGCTAGGTACATCTAGTACATATATGATATATGTATAGTACAGAATTCTATATATTTAGTTTAATCTAGTGACTTCTTTGTTAATGTCTCTAGCTGCATCTCAAGACTTCCTGTTTCATGTTCCACATGTTCCACATTTTCCCGTGCTGAAGTTTGTGCTCGGGTGATGTGTGTTCCACTATGTTCCACTGCTAAGATCTGGTGTCAGGTCGGAAGCCTCAATTCTCGGGCGATGCTTGGTACGCTGTGAGACAGCATGATCGGCATTTTGCAGGGGGTTGACCCGCGTGGAATTTTGTCAAATGTGAAAACATCTCAGTGTTTTGCATTGTTTCTATATTTTTTTCAATAAATATAAATTATAAATATATAATTGCATGTCTCAAGTCCGAGCTTGTTTTCCTTGTGCAGTGCTGTGTAATTGATTTTCCCAATGCGAAGTGTGGCCCAAGGAAAAGTGAGTTGGAATCGCCGAAATTCATCCGAGCACTTCAGACCTTATTTGATCTCACTACGCGGCAGGCTAGGATGAGCGGGAGCGGGATGAGCCTGCAATTTATGAACACCGTCAGTATCCGTCAATCATTGTTCAATCATTGTTCAATTGCTTTCAATATGACGTGTCAATTTTTGCTCACTTTTTGTGGAACCTCAATTTTTGCTGTAAACAAAACAAATGCAATGCAAAGATATGCAAAGTGCACATGCAACGCGGGGAGGCCTGGCGGTAGCATGTTCAATTGGATACAGTGCCAGGTGATCACCAGGGACAGACAAGGAAAATTGCCGTTTGGAACTCAGACGCGTCTAGCGGGGCTGAACCGGGCGTGAATCCCAAATGCAAGAGAAACAGACATGAAAAAAAAACCTATAGCCTATATAGTGCATTTTCTTCATAAACTAATCAATTAATATATTAACAGACTCTAGCAAGAGCGTGAGAATCTAGTGCGTCGAGTGGACGTGAGTGGACCTAGTGGTCTTGATAGTTCTAGCTCTTCGCATGCTCTTCGTGCTCGTTTTTGAATTGATGTGGTGTTTTCGACGAATGATTTCTTGTGGTTGCTTCCGTTGCTTCCGGCTTGACATACCTTTACGGCTTTGATGTTTAGCCAAGGACGCGGCTCAAGGCAGAACCTGGCACAAGAATGACATAGAAAAGTCAAAACAAATTTGTTCATCTGAAGACTATCTGAATCTGAATATTTTCTTCCAAGAGCACAACTACCGAAGAATGACCTATTTTGGTGCCGCATTCTTTGCTTCTCGCTGTTTCTCGCTGTTTCTCGCTGTGGCAGGTGGTGAAAGCCAAAAGATCAGTCAATTTGGACGCGTACCGTGCAGCTTGGAACAGACAGGAGACATCCGAGACATCCGATGTGCATCGATGTGCTAAGTGTGGCGAAATGTGGCGAAATGTTGCAGATAGTGCAGGCCATTGGATTCATTGGATTCATTGGATGTAGTGAACCTTTAAAGTTTTTAAAAAAAACATGGGCCCAGCAACAGCAGCAAGATCCAAAGATATCCAAAGTATTCCCGGTTGAACATGCCACTGGCGCTGGTGCCTTCGACAGCTATCAGTGTAGCATTTGTCGTGCCTCGTGTGCTGTCGTGCTGTCGCGTGAACGAGGCCTACTACGCACGTCGGTCCGAGATCGAAGCATCAATGGCTTCAATGGCTTCGTTCTCACGACATCCCGGACCTGGAGTACGGTTAGATGACTGTCTCACCACAGGTGGGGCTATCTCTCCATCTCTTTCCATCTCCCCAAAAGTTTGGTTACTGCTGAAGGGCTTTGGTACCCCGTCAGGCTACCCTGTTCGACCTGTTGAAGCAGATGAGAATCAACAGTAAGGGAGAGAAAAACATCAATAACAAGCAAGTTCTGCTAAGCACCTGCTAAGCACCAACACAAACCAAACCGAATGACAGAAGAGTAGAAGCAGAAACATCAGAAACATAGGACCTAGGAGCTATCACACACCTGCCTGTACGTAAGAGCAAACACTCATGTTGCAAAAGTGGATTTTCCGAAACAAAATGCAACGATTATTCTCATGCAGCAGTTCTTCGGGCTTTGACTCTTGAGAGTCTTTCTCCTTCCCCAGGATTCGCACTCCTTTAGCTTGCCCAAGGCCTTGTTCGTAGAGCCACCAGACAAATAGATACAGATGGTAAACCACACAGCAACAACTAAGGATTCAGGAGAGTGAAGCAGCAACTAAGCCCACAGCACACAGCATTTGTACTTGGTGCTTGTCACATGCCTTCGCCGCGCAATACTTTTCTTGTCTCTTCCAGACCAGCTATCCTTTCCCCGAAGCCAACAAAACATCACCATTTAACACGATTCAACATGATTCCCACATTGATGCAAATTCATTGGACAATAATTCAACCTAATACATGCATAGAAATACATAGAAATTCAGACACTGGCACAGCTGAGGTCCTTCTGGCTGTTACCTGACCAGAGAGCTTCGTTCGCTTCAAGGCCCGGACATGACATGGCACTGCATGGCAGACTGTCAAGAGATGTCAAGAGATGTCAACAGTTTGATGCTGACAGCACTTAAGGTAGCGATAGCACAGGCAGACGAGGTCGCAAGGAGAAACGTAAGGAAAAACCGAGGCCCGTGCAGCTTGTAGACACCGTAGACACCGATGCTGTAGCAGAGCAGAAGCGATCCGCCAGATTTGTGGCTCAAGAAGAGCTCAGATGGTACGTGCAAAATGATGCTATGAGGCTGGGGTGCGAATCCCTATTTCAGTTGCGGCCCGCCTTTCATAAACTGGGTTTTGCCCTGCTGATTGTCCAAGTTGTCCAGTATTTTGGACTGTCAAAAAGTGAGCTGGTGGCAGATGTCTCCCCAGAAAGCCACAGCAGCCGCAGCCAAGATGGCAGAAGTCAGAGTGCAAAGCAGAGTTTGGATGAGAACTTGGATGAAAACTTCCAGAGTGAGTCCGAAAAGTCGGAGTCCGAATTGGTTGCGTTGAGGTTGTTGAGTCCAATTCGATCCACTTCTGTAGAAGCCTTGCAGGCCGAGGTGGTGGCAGCGGAGGCTGCCTTGGCACTGCGTGCGCAGGTGGATGGCCTCCCGGTGGTCTACGATTCGCCCGCGGTGTCCATTTCTCTACGGAAGGTGAGCCCTGCGGCACTTCAGAAGTCCGGAACTTCTGTAGAGGCACCCGACGGGGCATCCATCAACATCCCAGCTGATCCTCGGGTGAAAGGCAGATATGACACTCCCGTGACAATTTCAGTCACCAGTTACCATGCAGGAGATGCCATCAACAAGGACATGCCAAAGATCAAGTTTACACAGCGCTCGGAGGACAAGGCTTCCCGCAGCCTCACAAACATCACAAACATCACAAACCACAGTGACCACAGTGACCACAGCAGTGAACCAATCAGTGAACGATCCAATGTGGAACATGATGTGAGAGACACAGGGAGCTCTTCACACTCACACTCGGATTCAGCGTCACCGTCGCCACCGGTGGACCGTGTGGATTTCTTCATGACCAAGACCAGTGTTACCTGGCACGGCACAGTTAATGTCAAGGTGCCGGGCCTCTCGGCGAACGTGCCTGCAAGGGATAGGCCATGGACACCTCTTGATGATGAGCAGGCAAACTATGCTGAAGAAAAAGCGGAAGTGAAAGCAGAGTTGGAAAGGTTAGCCTCTCTGCCTTCCACAGAGCGTCTGTCTGGATACCGAAAGCTGGCCAAAAAGTGGCATCCAGACAAGCACCCTCCCGAAGAGCGTGAAAAAGTCACAGAGATATTTGAATATTTGCAAGAACTTCGGCTGGCTCTTGGTTCCTTTGGTGGTTCATCACGTGCGTGACAAGAACAAGACACAGGGCTGAACGTGCGCCAAGTGCAGGTCCAGGACACGAAGGTGACCGAAGGCGACGAAATGGATCAGCTTGGAATCGCTTTTCAATGGCTTTCCACATCTTTCCACATCTTTCCCTTCTCGTCTAGATCTCACCAGAGAAAGCTCATAGTGCTCCATGCTAGTAGAAAAAAGGAAGCGGACCACATGTTTAGAGCCCATCGGATCACAAGCTCCTCACGCGCACTGCGTGTCAAGGATGTAAGGGAGTTAAAGGGAGTTAAGGCAAAATACGGAGTGACTTGTGACATCTTGTGGCATCTTGTGACACGCGTTGATGAAGTTGATGGCAAGCTTGTGTGCCGCCAGTGCCGGCATCGACGCATTCGGACACCAGTCACACACTTGCTCAGAAACATCTTATCGAATTACTGATGTGGAATGCATCGGACGTGCAAAGACAACACAGTTAAACCTAACAGGAGAAATGAAAAAAAAAATAAAAAAAAATATAGGACTCCGGTGGCCACCAGCTGCGACTTATAATTGCACCCAGGTGCACCACCGAAGTCCTGCAGGTACGTTTACACGGGTCCCGGGGAGGTGTCTTCGTTGGTCACCGACCCCCCCGGGACCCCGGTGACCCCCTGCAAAATTAGAAGTTTTACATCTATTCAGATGGTACACACACACACACACGCCCCGCCACAGCGGGGCAGATGAGATGAGGATTAAAATGAAATGAAAGTGAAAATGGAATGAAAGTTGCCTAACCAGGACGCGAAGAGGGGAACGCAAGAGAAGAGGGAAAGAGCAAACACCAACACAACACACCTAGCCCGAAACGGGCAAAACCCTGAAAAGGCAAGGAAAAAGAAAAGCGAAGGCCGACGGACACGCAACCAGACCAGCGGAGGAGGGGGAGGACGGAAGCGCCTGAACCAACCTAACAAAGCGAAACCTAAGCCTACCTCGGCACGCGCAGGACCCAACCTACCTGAAGGGAGGAGAACGCAGAAACACATGAGAAAAGGGACCCATGGGGAACTTAATTAAATGATGCATCCACATGAACGTGCAGAGATCCCCTCATTAGGCTCAACTTCCTGAGTTCACGTCAACCCTATCGACGGCTGTCAGTGTTCAAATGAATTACGTGTGCAATTGAACCTCACCAACGACCATCAAAAGAAAGAAGTACCAAACCTGCAAGGATGTCCTGTTACCTCGAATGTCATGTAAATGGCTGCGGTCTGTCTCTTGAAGCAACAGGAAGGTTGTTGTCGTGGCTTCCAACTATGCAAGTCTGCGAAAAGGAAAAGGAGGCCCGGTACAGCGGCCAATTGTTCAACACACACCCCCCACGACCGACGTGTGAGACCAGGAAAATGGCCAGCTGTTCACTTTACTTAGACGAATTACTAATTCAACCGTGTAAATTCAGACATCGTTTTGCCGTCAATTTTTAGCCTAGAAAGGCTTTCCCCGAAGGGCTCATACCACCTTGTCGGACAACGGTATGAGTGACACACTTGCTCAGAAACATCTTATCGAATTGCTGATGTGGAATGCATCGGACGTGCAAAGACAACACAGTTAAACCTAACAAGAGAAATGAAAAAAAATATAATATATATATATATATATAGGACTCCGGTGGCCACCAGCTGCGACTTATAATTGCGCCCAGGTGCACCACCGAAGTCCTGCAGGTACGTTTACACGGGTCCCGGGGAGGTGTCTTCGTTGGTCACCGACCCCCCCGGGACCCCGGCCGGTGACCCCCTGCAAAATTAGAAGTTTTACATCTATTCAGATGGTACACACACACACCATAGAACTCGGATCAACTTTGAGACAATTTGTCAAAAATTATGATGTATTGTATAATATTATATGATAAATATAATATATGATGTATTATGATGTATTATGATGTATTATGATGTATTATGATGTATTATGATGTATTATGATGTATTATGATGTATTATGATGTATTGTGATGTATTATGATGTATTATGATGTATTATGATGTATTGTGATGTATTGTGATGTATTATGATGTGTTATGATGTATTATGATGTATTTCGTAACTGCTGTAACTGCTTCGTAAGTTGTACGGCTTCGCACGGCTTCGTACCACCCTGGTGAGGTCTTTGGACAGACTCACAGAATGCCCAGTGGCTGGTGGAGGGGAGCCAGGTGTCTGCAGCACAGCTATGTGATGCTATGTGATGCTATGTGATGCTATGTGATGCTATGTGTCGTCTATGTGCGATTTATGTACGATTTACAGCCTGTTCCACAATGGCGTAACATGCCATAACAAACTTGGAACAGACATATTGCGCTCGTCTCACTATTTCTGAGTGTGTCACGTGTCACCCTGCCATCCTAACCAGTAGCCTTGACAATTTCAACGCATTCCAAAGTGATTTATTACGACTTATTTGTTTATTCCATCTTATTCACCTTTTCAAATTTTCAAACATGTCCCATTCAAAAGCCACCAGAAGCTACTCAAAACCAGCTGTTCCACAATTCCATAGCTGTTTCAATTGACATGTCAATTGACAGGTCACTTTTCCCATGAAACATGTGAAAACATGTGAAACACGTCATGAAACATGTCATGGCACATGTCGCCTTCACCGTTTCACCGTTGTGGTTTCGGGAACGGTGGCAGGTCTTTCGCGTGGCCGCGCTGGCCGCGCAGTTCCTGGAGCCGGCGAAGGCGCAGCAAATCTTTGCACTGGAAGCGTCTCGGATCTAACAAACTCGACAAGTTGACATTGTGGAAATATATGATGAAAGTTGATGAAAGTTGACATTAACATCATATTAACATTATTTTTCCTAATGTATCATATGTCAATATATTATAACATCATATGTCAATAAAAAAATATATTTTATGTTGACATGAATGTTAACCTATCAATGTTACTTACCAATATTATTGCACTATGTCAATATATTAATGATAGGTTATTATGTTATTTTAATATGTTAATAATTAATGTGATTTTAATATGCTCATAATTGTCTGACAATTATTGCTTTTTGGTAATGTGTTTAATTTAACAAATTTGTTAATTTACACCAGTTTACAGATGTTTACAGTAACACACGCAGACACACAGAGACAACAGATTCATCAACAAGAATTGAATCTCTTCAGTTGAAACCAAATAGATCCACAAACATGAGTTGCACAAGTCGTCAAGAGCAATTCATGCTTAGTCCCACAGCTGAGGACCTACCTTTGATTTTGCCACTACTGTGTAGATTAATGTAGATTGGCAGATCGAGGTCATAGGGGACAGCAGATTCCATTTGATTCCATTTTCCGAGTTGTGGAAAATCATGTTGCAATATGTTACAATATGTTACAATATGTCACAATATGTTACAAATAGGAATTTCAAGGGTCCGAGGGCTTGAAAACTGTCTCCGCCCAAGGATCACTACGAGTTGAAACCCGAGAGTGCGCCCACAGATCGCCTGATAGAAGGCAGGTGAAAAAGCGTCAACGCGGTGAAAACAACCCGGAACAGCATGGAACAACTGAGACAATTGGGACTCACAGATGGCAGCTGATGTGATGAGAGCATAACATGAGAGCTACTTTGACACAGCTACTATGGTTACTACAGCAGAGCAAGTGCTGGAAACCATGAACCACCCTGGAAAAGCATGCAAACCTCTAGGGCCAAGGAGAGAACGATGCAAAGGATATGCCGGAAACTTTCAAGTGCCACCATTGCCACCTACAAACTGCATCAAACTGCTAAGAGTATTCCAAAGTATTCTGGTCCCTTCGCGATGGGAACCGCCCGCACTGGAATTGTCTTCTCAATCACCATAAAACCTGTTTGTGACGCTTTGTTTCTTTAAACTTTGTGAGGCCATTGTTGTTTTGTCAAGTCTAGAAGAAGAAAATATATCCTAGACATAGACTTTGTGAAGTTTCAAAACTCCTAGAAGTGTTCTTGAAGTAACATTGTCCGTTTGTTTTTGCTTACGCCCCAAAAAACTTACAAGTAAAACGGAGGTCTTCAATACTTCAACATTCTGAGGATGTTACAGTGATGTTGCGGTCATGAGCCATGATGTTACTTGAAACATATGGTGTAAATCATACCCATATTGTTCACTGTAAAGACACCTCCCGATTGGGTTGTTTGACGCCTGTTTGGTAAGATGAAAACAGGCCGCAGCCGCTGCCCAGGGTTCGCGTGCGGTGGTTCTGTTATTAACCCCCTTGTGTTTTGGCTGTTTCTAGGCGATTCAAGTTGTTATCAGCCGTATCGGTCTTTGATTGATTGTTGACTTTTGGGGGTATCTTTTCATTAGGGCTTGGGGTCCCTTTAAAACCCCGCGGCCATGAGTGATCATTCTCGCACACCACCTCGTCGCGGGATCAGAGGTGGTGGGTCGGCACGGAGGAAGAGACTGGCCTGGATCCAGCATAACCAGTGGGACGACGGATCAGGGAGTGCAGTGGGACGTCCCTGTTGCTCACTCTGGTGGGCAGCAGCGTCCCCTGTACTCTCCGGCAACTTGGGAGCCTGAGAGCAGCGACAAGGAGCTTGATCAAACTGAGTATACACAAGATCCTTTGGCTTTTCCATCAAGGCCTCTTTCTCAATCAACTTCGGAAGTCACTCGCTTGGTCCCAAGACCTAAAGGTGTTGCAAAGTCATCATCATCAGCTGGGCAATCTTGTGCAGATCACCTGCGAAGTCAACTTCGGCCACGATCACCAGGGCGAATCCGCTTTTGAGAGCAGCTCGAAGGTCGAGGCAGCATCATCTTCGAAGGGTTCATCAACTCCGAGGTCTACTGCGGCTTCGTCTTCAAAGGTTCAGATTTTGTTGGACCTGCTGTGGCATCATCTTCAAAGGGCTCTGCGAAGTCAAAGTCTGCTGAAGGGAGCTCATCGTCGAAGGGGCCCGCATATCCCAGGTGCATTGACGTGTCTTTTCTTCAAGGCGTGAAGTGCTGGCAGTTTGACTCTCAGGATAACTTGGTTGAACATAAACTTTCGACGATCCCAGTGGTGTGGCATTTGATTGGCACCAGGTCACTGATAATTATCGTGCATCCAGATTCAAGGCACTTCGTGCTGATTGGGAAACAGGTGAACTACTTCAGTCGGTTCTTGACGTGTATCATCAGACTGCTCACAATTGTGGACAATTTGACGAGGTAATTATTTTGTCCCATATTGAGAAGAGCAAAAAGAATCTGGAGTTCCTCCTCAAGTCCGCTCGGGTGAATCGTTTGCCTGTTGATCTGGTTTTCTTAACAGGGACCAGGACTGGAGCTGGGGGCAAAGCAGCTGTATTACAAGCTCTTTTGGGTGACAGGAAGGCCTGGCCGATCAGCTTGGAACATCGGAGATCATTTGCAGTTTGTCGAAGAGTTTTCGGGTTCATCCGTGTCCATCATGTCCATTCGTGGCAAGTAGAGTGGTTACGTAGTTTTCCCAGTTTCTCGATTTGTGGTTGGGCTGCAACTGCGCCTCCACTTCTTGGGGTTGGCCTGAAACCCCTTGTCAATTTGAAATGATTTAATTCGAAGATATCCTCTAATTTCCAATTCGTCTAGCATCATATGATTTGCTTGAAGCATTTCACCAGCCGATACCTCGGACTTTCATTGTCTTTTCTCGATTCACACGTTTGGCACGTCAATTTGTTTTGATTCGGAGCCCTTGGATCCTAATATCGGCACTTTGCTTGCGGATCTCAAGGTGTATCACCACATCAGGTACCAAACTTTCATTTGGATTGTGCCAGTTTCGTTTGGCATCCGATAAGTTTCCAAAGAGACCATTTGTCTCGAACATCCGTCAGTCAATCACTTCATTTTCCGAGCTTGTCTCTAAGAGATTTGAGTTTGATTGTGCTGTGGTTGGATCAGTCCAGATATCAGCGTACCATTTTCTCAGCTAGGCTGCATCGCGCCGCTGAGAAGCAGATTGGTTTTGGATTTGGGTGTTGATGTCATCTGGTCCAACTGATCCAAGTTCGTCACTTTTGAATGTGTCATCAGACTCCATGGAAATTCCTGGGTTGGTTGCCGGGGCTGGCAGTAGAAGTTCATCAGCCTCCTCAACTGGGCACAGGGTGGGCAACAAAACCCGCAAAATAGTCCGGGTAAACCTTTGGCCATCAAAGACGCACATGGGAGAACTTTGGTTTCAATGAATCCAGCCGAGGGGTTCCCGTGATTTGGAAATGGGTGATCATCCTCCACTCAAGTGTTGCGCTTGCATGATGAGAGAAATCAAACAGTTCATCTTGGAGTTAGTCCGCAAGATTTTGGGGCAGTTGTAGCAGAAGCTCAACGTCTTTTGGATGAATCTCGAACTCGTGCTTTGCATCTTGAAGGTGTTGCCCAGGAAATCCATGATAGATGGTTGAATCCCTTTACCAAGCATGTCAGTCGAAGGACCAAACAACCCTTGGTAAGAGCAATGACTTGGGTGCTCTTCAAACTGAGGTCGCGTTGGTTCAGAGTCAGCTGCAATTGCAAGTATCCAAATGCTCAAAGTACGAAACAATCCTTGGCCATGAGGATGGTGAAATCAAAAGGTTGATGACCGAGTTGGGTGTTGCGAACCAGTCCCTGGTTTCTTACACTTGAGATGCGTGAGCAACTGCAGGCGAGTTTGGCTGCTTCTAGCGCCTCTCGCGTTGGAGATAGAGCTCAAGAAGTCTCGGTGCCTGTCCGTCAATCAGTTCAGCCGGTTGTCGTTGAAGCTCAAAGTGCAAACAATGCATTTCTTGAAGCAAGTCAGTCTTTGTCAGCCAGATTAGATGGTATGTCAAATCGTGTTGACGCCGTTCAGCAAGGCTGTCAACCAATGCCAGTTCATGGCCGAAATGGAGCGGGTGCCTCGTCTCTCCCCTCAAGTGGATTGCCAATTCCAACCAAAAGATTTCCCAGTGAGCCTTTTGGGGGTGATCCTGGTGATGATCTTGAGGAAGAAAATGATGATGAAGAAGATTTGATTCAATTTGGTTCCCCAACTGCTGAAACGGAAATGGTTGATTCCAGGACTTTACAGCATGCGAACCTTTACCCCACCCCAAACACAGCTGCTGACTACAGGAATTGGAAGAACAACCTGATATTCTTGCTGGGTCGGTTGGATATTAGTGGGTCAGATTACTTGACTTCCTGGATTTCTCATGCTTTCAAGGTCAACACAGCTGAGTTTTGTGCTGGTTCATCCGAGCTTGTTCCGCGTTTGGATTGTGGGCTGGCTTCTGAACTCATCAAAGGTTTGAAAGATGTTCCAGATTTGCAATTCAAGGTGTAGGGTTGTCGAGCGTTGCACTCGTGATGGGACCGCTCCACGCGGTCGTGCAGTGCTTCAGATGATCTCTCGTCACTTTGACTTGGACCGTTCGTGGATCTTTGATCACTTCTCAGTCCATCTTTCAGGTGGAATTGCATGGCTACCCAACTTCAGACTTGCAGGATTTCTCAGCTCAGGTCATGAAAGTTCTCAATAGCCAATAGCATTACCCATGATCAATGGCCAAATCAACAAATGCTTGGAAAGTTCTTGTTTCATAAGTTGAGGACTGTCAGACGCCTTGAGAGGGTGATTGATGAAATCAAGCGGTCATCAGATGACTCTCCACTCCGTAACTTTGATTTCTGGCGGTCTAGATTGCAGGAATTCTTGGTTGAGGAAAGGGAGGATGCTAATGCAAGGTCCTTGAACAATCCTTGAAAAGCCCAAAGAAGTCAGCGAACATCCCAAAAGCGAAAGCCCCGGCCGTACCGGCCAAAGCCGCTCCAGCTGCTCCGACAAATGCAAATGCAGCTGCGGCTCCATCAAAAGCTGTGCCAAAGAAAACAGAGATTAAATCACCTCCGAAACCAAAATCAAAAGGATTATGGGCCCACCCCACCGGCAGTATTTTTGTCCGAGGGCATGGAAAGCCATTGAGTGCGGAAGAAAAGGCCAAGACACCATGCATCTTCCATCAGATGCCGTCAGGTTGCGTTCATGGTACAAAATGTGCCTACAGTCATTCGGAAGCTCCACCCCCAAAGCCAAAAAGTGACGGTAACGCAGATCCAAAACCTAAGCCTAAGACTGCGCCAGCAGCAGCAGCCAAGACCTTTGCGATTGTTGCCATCCTTGCTGCGACAATGCTTCAGTCATCCCAGGCTGGGCTGATTGAGTGGGCTGCGGATTCAGGTGCTGGAAGGCATGTGGCTTCCTTTGAAGCTTTGAGTGATCAACGGTATGACCGTTCCTTCTTTGATGGTTTCTCTAAGTAGTTCCTGATTCGTCAGTTGAGCCGGCTGTTGAGCCCAGAGCTGCTGAAATTAGGGAAGTTGCTCCAGATGAACCTCTTCCGATGCTCTCTGATGCGGGTGTCTCTGCAAGAGCCGAAGCCGTTTCAATCGAACATCGAATCAATCATTTCCCAAAGCATCCCTTGTGCGACATTTGCAATCATGCCAAGCTCTTTTCAAAAAGGATTCGCAGTCATCGTGTTCCTGACCCAGAGTCAGACTTGCCAGAAAGCTCCAAGTTTGGTGAGCAGGTCGCCATCGATCACATGGTTGTCTCGAAATCTGCGGGAGGAAAGTTTCTGTTCTAATTTTAATAGTGTATGACTCATTCAGTGGGATAGTCAATTATCCAGCAACATCAAAAGGTTCAGATTTTGTATATTCATGTCTTCGTCATTTTGTTGGCCTGAGATTCAAAAACCCAGACACGGTTTGCCGAAGTGGCGCTGCTCCAGAATTAGTGAAGGCTATTCGTGGTTTGGGATGGTTGCCGGAGACGGCTTTGCCTCGAAGATGGCCTCACGACTCAAAGTGCGAACGCATGATCCGAACTTTTGAAGAGTGTTGCAGACGTTTGCATTTACAAGCTGGTTTTGCTGTCTTACCCAAGTTGTGGCCAATCATTTGCACGTACGCGGCAGTTGCAATTAGCATTGACAAATGGGAGAGCTTTTGGGACGGAATTCAAGGGCGCAACCTACGCACTTGGTCAATTGGTGTTTTTTCGGACCAAATCTCAGTGCAAACCAAAGTTGGATCCGAATGCATCACCAGCTCCCATGGCTGGATGGAAGTTGGAATTTGGACTCAGGTTCAAAGGTGTTTTGACTTTCTTGGACTATCAAGCCTTGCGTGAGGGAAAGATCGTATGCGTTCAAGCTCCTGACCGGGAAGTTTACACACGAGACAAGGTGACTTTTCCTTTTTCAGATGTTGCGGAGAAAGCATTGGAGAATCTTGCTGATCCTTCAACAGATTGTTTGGAATGACATGATCCTTTGCCCGTCCTTTCATTGAGGACACGCCTGAAGTCAGAAAGAAGACCAAACGAGTCTACATCACCTACGGCCGCATTCAGCGGTCAGGTCCCACACCAGGTTGTCGTGCCTGTTTGGCACACACATCGAATCATACTCCTGAGTGCATGGCAAGACATGAGGAAGCTCATGGCCATGCTTCACCTGCTCCTACGCCTCGTGGACAAGGTGAGTTAAGTTGGAAGAGCTGCAAGATGAAGCTTTTCCGCCTGGTTTGGATTTTGAATGTGAACCTTCCATTGTATCTCATGATCCATTAGATGATGATCTTGTTCCTGAGTGTCCTCCTCCAGACGTGTTTCCTGAAGATGTTCCTGCTGAGGACGAGGATCCCATTCATGGTGTTACATCAGGTGTCGCAGTTACTGCAAGTATTGCCTGCGATGCAGCTACCGTGTTGCCTCAGGATCATGTTCAAGAATTGTTTCAGGAATCTTTTCATCAGGGGGGTCAGTTCGGTTGCCTTGGCGCCACAGCGACTCCAGAGAAGAAGAATCCAAAGCATAGTAAAGGTAAGCATGATCGTGTTGGCAAAGATGTTTTGTTTGAGCTCGCTTGTGCCAACGATTCTAATCTTCGAAAGGTTGTACCAGAGCATGGTGTGAAAGTCATTCGTCTGTGTAAGGAAGACATTGATTTGGAGAATCTTCACAGCATTGAACAGCTGATCGCTCAGGTTGATGCTTTGCCAGGGTGTTCCCTCCATTGTTCTGTCGAATGCAAACCATGGTCGCAATGGCAACATTTGAATCAAGACAAGTATCCAATGCACGAATTCGTCAGGAAAGAGCAGCGAGCGAAGCGTTAGTTGCACAATTTATTCGGGTTGCAGACGTTTGTCTTGACAACGTTGGTGATTGCAGTTTTGAGTGGCCACGGTTCTGTACTGGTTGGGCTTTGCCTTTGATTCAGTCGTGGATTCTGGAAAGGAATTTGCACTCAGCGACCTTCAATGGGTGCGCAGTTGGAGTTGAAGCTGACGGTCAGCCAGCAAAGAAGCCTTGGAGGTTTATCACATCTTCATTGCGTTTGGCCACGAATCTTCCTGCATTAAAATGTATTCACAGTAGTCATGCACCACTTCAAGGCAAATGGACTAGGATGTCAGCATTTTACCCAAAACTGCGGTGCAATTTGATGATCAGTTCTTTGTTTCCCCATGTTACCAATAGACACGTTTTCAGCATGCCGTGTGTTGCTCGCTCACGGCAACCACATCGCCAGAAGCTTGTGAAGGGTTATCCTTCAGTGCCTTTAGATGTAATGATGGCTGAAACTGGATGTCATGAAATCAGAACTCCTGCCTTTGTGCACAAGTTGCTGGACCGCAATGAGTGGAAGGGCCATCCAGAGGCTCTCAAAGCCATTGAAAATGAGAAGCAAGGTCTTCTTGCCAATGGGCCGCGGGATGAGTCCAACATTCGTCCGAAGTCTGAGATTTTGTTAGCATCAAAGGTTTTGAAAAGGTTTTTGTGGCTCAGTCATCTGGCAACAAGATTCACGTAGGTGCTCTTATGGTTATTGTGAGCATCAAAGGTTTTGAAAAGCCGTCCAATGAATGGATTGTCAAAGCTCGAATTGTGTTTCGGGGAGACGCTGTGTCAGGGATGAGGAAAATCAAGCGCCAGTGTTTGTTGACATTGCAGCCTCAGCTCCTACCAGTCTTGGTGGACTTAACCTGATAGTGGCTTATGGACTCTTGACGGCAATGAAACCACTACCAGCGATTGTACAAAGACATTGCATAGAGATCTGTTGCAGAGATCTTGCCAAGAGGTCTCTTACGTAAATCATGCCAAGAGAGCTCTTATGGTAGAGAGCTTGTGCAGACATTTCATAAAGAGATCTTGTACAGAAACGTTGTGCAGAGATCTGTTGAGATATTGCGAAGAGGCCCCTTACAGAGATCTTGCCAATAGACCTCTTGTAGAGATCCTGACAGAGATCTTGCCAGGCCCCAGTTTTGGAGATCTTGTACAGAGACATTGCAGAGAGATCCGTTGCAGAGATTTTGCCAAAAGGTCTCTTATGTAAATCTTGCTCAGAGAGCTCTTTTAGAGAGCTTGTACGGAGATCTCAGAAAGAAATCTTGTACAGAGTCTGTTGCGGAGATCTTGCCAAGAGGTCTCTTACATAGATCTTGCCAAGAGAGCTCTTATAGAGAGAGCTTGTACAGAGATCTCAAAAAGAGATATTGCCAAGAGATGTCTTACAGAGATGCTGTCCGGAGGTCTCGCCAAGAGACCTCTTATAGAGATCTGCACAGAGACCTGGTGAAGAGAGTACAGGTCTTGCTCAGAGATCATTTATAGATAGCTCCAATAACAGAGATCTTACTTTAGATCCCTTACAAAGATCTTCTGTGGAGATCTCCTATAGACACCTTGTACAGATATCCTTACACAGGGGTCTTGCACAGCAGCTTCTACAGAGAACCTGTCAAGGAGATCTTGCGCACGATCTTCTACAGAGATCTTCACAAAGGGAACTTGCAGAATCTTGCCTGCCATCTTTTCTTCCAGAGACCACCTTGAATGAACACCATGCTTTCACTACTAGGGTCGCTCTTGTCCTTCTAGGTTGCAGCCACTGATGATTTTGGTTCCTTTCCACCTTTCTTTTTAGAATCCTAACTGCGCACATTGTTTGGGGTCTCTTGCTGGGATCATTTTCCCAAAAGCATCTCCAATGCTTGAGTTCTTGTTTAGCTTGCTTCGCCGTGGGGGGAGCAAGACCGAAGCGTGGACGGACAGGACACCATACGAAATAGCTTCAGGAGAGGTTTGCGGGGAGGGAGCGGGCATGCAGCGTAGATAGACGAACAGGAAACCGTGGGAAAATAGCGTGGAGAGAGCTCCGGAGCGAGAAAGCATCGTGGACGGAAAGGAAACCGTGCAAATAGCTTGGGGGGAGCTGCGGGCGAGCATGCCGGAGAGGAAACCGCGGAGATAGCTTGGGGAGAGCTGGGAGCAGTGTGGAAGGAAGCCGTGGAAATAGCTCGGGGAGAGCTCTGGGAGGGAGCGAGAAGAGTGCAGCGTGAAAAACCGTTGGAAACATCTTGTGGCGAGCTCCGCTAGGAAGGGAGCGAGCATGCAGCGTGGACGGACAGGAAATTGAGGAAATAGCTAGGTGAGAGCGGGCATGCCGCGTGGACGGACAGGAAACCGCTGGGAGGGAGAATGCAGCGTGGACGGACAGGAGACTGAGGAAATGCTAGCTAGCAGCTAGGTGAGAGCGAGCATGCAGCGTGGACGGACAGGAAACCCTGGAAATAGCTTGGGGAGAGCTCTGCTGGGGGTGAGCGAGCATGCAGCATGGATGTATTGGAAAGCAGAGCAGGAGGGAAACAGTGGAAACAGCTTGGGCAGAATTCCGCTGGGAGGAAACAAGAATGCAGCGTGGATGGATTGGAAACCGTTTAGCCATAGCTTGGGCTGAGAGCTTCGCTGCGAGCATGCAGCGTGGACGGACAGGAAGCGCTTGGGGAGAGCTCCGCTGGAAGGGAGCGAGCATGCGGACGGACAGGAAGTTCACTGCCGTTGGGAGGGAGCGATACAAAAAATACACAGCTGTTGTCACGGTTTTTCCCCAGATAGCTGGCAAGCTATAGGGGTTCTTACTTCTCAAAGGTGGGGTCTTCGGTGGCGAACTTTTTGAGCAAAGGTGCTGTGCAGGGTGCTGTGCAGGGTGCTGTCCAGACTGCGGTGGCGAAGTCTGGCAAAGGTGCTGTGCAGGGTGCTGTGCAGGGTGCTGTCCAGACTGCAGTGGCGAAGTCTGGCAAAGGTGCTGTGCAGGGTGCTGTGCAGGGTGCTGTGCTGTGTGCTGTGGAGGGTGCTGTCCGGACTGCGGTGGCGAAGTCTCGCAAAGGTGCTGTGCAGGGTGCTGTGCAGAGTGCTGTTCAGAGTGCAGTGGCGAAGTCTGACAAGGGTGCTGTGCAGGGTGCTATGCAGGGTGCTGTCGAGACTGCGGTGGCGAAGTCTGGCGAAGGTGCTGTGCAGGGTGCTGTGCAGGGTGCTGTGCAGGGTGCTGTCCAGACTGCGGTGGCGAAGTCTGGCAAAGGTGCTGTGCAGGGTGCTGTGCAGAGTGCTGTTCAGACTGCAGTGGCGAAGTCTGGCAAAGGTGCTGTGCAGTGTGCTCTGCAGGGTGTTGTCCAGACTGCGGTGGCGAAGTCTGGCAAAGGTGCTGTGCAGGGTGCTGTGCAGGGTGCTGTCCAGACTGCGGTGGCGAAGTCTGGCAAAGGTGCTGTGCAGGGTGCTGTGCAGAGTGCTGTCCAGACTGCAGTGGCGAAGTCTGGCAAAGGTGCTGTGCAGGGTGCTGTGCAGGGTGCTGTGCAGGGTGCTGTGCAGGGTGCTGTGCACGGTGCTGTCCAGACTGCGGTGGCGAAGTCTGGCAAAGGTGCTGTGCAGGGTGCTGTCCAGACTGCGGTGGCGAAGTCTGGCAAAGGTGCTATGCAGGGTGCTGTTCAGACTGCGGTGGCGAAGTCTGGCAAAGGTGCTGTGCAGGGTGCTGTCCAGTGCTGTGGCGAAGTCTGGCAAAATTGCTGTGCAGGGTGCTGTGCAGGGTGCTGTCCAGACTGCAGTGGCGAAGTCTGGCAAAGGTGCTGTGCAGGGTCTGTGCTGTAGGGTGCTGTGTGCAGGGTGCTGTGCAGGGTGCTGTGCAGGGTGCTGTGTGGCGAAGGTGCTGTGCAGGGTGCTGTGCAGGGTGCTGTGCAGGGTGCTTTCCAGACTGCGGTGGCGAAGTCTGGCAAAGGTGCTGTGCAGGGTGCTGTCCAGACTGCGGTGGGGAAGTCTCGCAAAGGTGCTGTGCAGGGTGCTGTGCAGGGTGCTGTGCAGGGTACTGTGCAGGGTGCTGTGCAGGGTGCTGTGCAGGGTACTGTGCAGGGTGCTGTGTGGCAAAGGTGCTGTGCAGGGTGCTGTGCACGCTGCTATCCAGACTGCGGTGGCGAAGTCTCGCAAAGGTGCTGTGCAGGGTGCTGTGAAGGGTGCTGTGAAAGGTGCTGTGCAGGGTGCTTTGCAGGGTGCTGTGCAGGGTGCTGTGCAGCGTGCTGTGCTTTGGTTCCCACGTTGGGAACCATCAGTTCCAACCTTTAGGAACTGGAAGTTCTTTGCATTGGTAACCTGTGGTTCCCAGGTTGGGAAGCATGAGTTCCAACCTCTGGTAACCGGCAGTTGCTTGCAATGGTAACCCATGGTTCCCAGGTTGGGAACCAGGAGTTCCAACCTCTGGGAACCGGCAGTTCCTTGCAATGGTAACCTGTGGTTCCCACGTTGGCAACAGTGAGTTCCAACCTTTGGGAACCGGCAGTTCCTTGCCATGCACCAAACGCAAACATTCCGGTACCGGTCCAGTAAGCAAAACAAAGCGTTCTTTACCGGTCCATTAAGCAAAACCATAAAGTTGTAAAGAAACTGTTTTCATATCATTTTAACATGCACCTTTTTCGTGCAAAAAAAAGCCGGCCCAACAGCCAAACGCAAACATTCCGCTACCGGTCCACTAAGCAAAACAAAAGGTTCTGTTACCTGCTCAGTAAACAAAACAAAACAACATTAAGAACCATGAGTTCTAACTTTTTGCAATCAACAGATCCTTCCACTGGTAACGTTACTTTTTCAGGCTTGGAACCATGAGTTTCAAGCTTTGGGAACCCGCAGTTCCTTACAATGAAAGCCGCTTAGCTTCGAAAACGCAATTCCTTGCAATGGTAACCTCTGGTTCCCAGGTTGGGAACCGTAAGTTTCAAGGTCTGGGAACCGGCAGTTCCTTGCCATGGTAACCTTTGGTTCCCACGTTGGGAACCATCAGTTCCAACCTTTAGGAACTGGAAGTTCTTTGCAATGGTAACCTGTGGTTCCCAGGTTGGGAAGCATGAGTTCCAACCTCTGGTAACCGGCAGTTGCTTGCAATGGTAACCTCTGGTTCCCAGGTTGGGAACCAGGAGTTCCAACCTCTGGGAACCGGCAGTTCCTTGCAATGGTAACCTGTGGTTCCCACGTTGGCAACCGTGAGTTCCAACCTTTGGGAACCGGCAGTTCCTTGCCATGAACCAAACGCAAACATTCCGGTACCGGTCCATTAAGCAAAACAAAGCGTTCTTTACCGGTCCATTAAGCAAAACCAAAAATTGTAAAGAAACTGTTTTCATATCATTTTGACATGCACCTTTTTCGTGCAAAAACATTTTTATGCCGGCCCAACAGCCAAACGCAAACATTCCGCTACCGGTCCACTAAGCAAAACAAAAGGTTCTGTTACCTGCTCAGTAAACAAAACAAAACAACATTAAGAACCATGAGTTCTAACTTTTTGCAATCAACAGATCCTTCCACTGGTAACGTTACTTTTTCAGTCTTGGAACCATGAGTTTCAAGCTTTGGGAACCCCCAGTTCCTTACAATGATAGCCGCTTAGCTTCGAAAACATAAATTCTAACTTCTGGGAATCGGCAATTCCTTGCAATGGTAACCTCTGGTTCCCAGGTTGGGAACCGTAAGTTTCAAGGTCTGGGAACCGGCAGTTCCTTGCCATGGTAACCTTTGGTTCCCACGTTGGGAACCATGAGTTCCAACCTTTAGGAATTGGAAGTTCTTTGCAATGGTAACCTACGGTTCCCAGGTTGGGAAGCATGAGTTCCAACCTCTGGGAACCGGCAGTTGCTTGCAATGGTAACCTCTGGTTCCCAGGTTGGCAACCATGACTTCTTACCTGTGGAAACCGGCAGTTCCTTGCAATGGTAACCTGTGGTTCCCACGTTGGCAACCGTGAGTTCCAACCTTTGGGAACCGGCAGTTCCTTTGCCATGAACCAAATGCAAACATTCCGGTACCGGTCCATTAAGCAAAACAAAGCGTTCTGTACCGGTCCATTAAGCAAAACCATAAAATTGTAAAGAAACAGTTTTCATATCATTTTAACATGCACCTTTTTCGTGCAAAAACATTTTTATGCCGGCCCAGCAGCCGAACGCAAAGATTCCGCTACCGGTCCATTAAGCAAAACAAAAGGTTCTGTTACCGGCTCAGTAAACAAAACAAAACAACATTAAGAACCATGAGGTCTAACTATTTGCAATCAACAGATCCTTCCACTGGTAACGTTACTTTTTCAGGCTTGGAACCATGAGTTTCAAGCTTTGGGAACCCGCAGTTCCTTACAATGATAGCCGCTTAGCTTCGAAAACATAAATTCTAACTTCTGGGAACCGGCAATTCCTTGCAATAGTAACCTCTGGTTCCCAGGTTGGGAACCGTAAGTTTCAAGGTCTGGGAACCGGCAGTTCCTTGCCATGGTAACCTTTGGTTCCCACGTTGGGAACCATGAGTTCCAACCTTTAGGAATTGGAAGTTCTTTGCGATGGTAACCTATGGTTCCCAGGTTGGGAAGCATGAGTTCCAACCTCTGGGAACCGGCAGTTGCTTGCAATGGTAACCTCTGGTTCCCAGGTTGGGAACCATGAGTTCCAACCCCTGGGAACCGGCAGTTCCTTGCAATGGTAACCTGTGGTTCCCTCGTTGGTTCCAACCTTTGGGAACCGGCAGTTCCTTGCCATGAACCAAACGCAAACATTCCGGTACCGGTCCATTAAGCAAAACAAAGCGTTCTGTACCGGTCCATTAAGCAAAACCATAAAATTGTAAAGAAACAGTTTTCATATCATTTTGACATGCACCTTTTTCGTGCAAAAACATTTTTTTGCCGGCCCAGCAGCCGAACGCAAACATTCCGCTACCGGTCCATTAAGCAAAACAAAAGGTTCTGTTACCGGCTCAGTAAACAAAACAAAACAACATTAAGAACCATGATTTTTATCTTTTTGGAATCAACAGATCCTTCCACTGGTAACGTTACTTTTTCAGGCTTGGAACCATGAGTTTCAAGCTTTGGGAGCCCGCAGTTCCTTACAATGATAGCCGCTTAGCTTCGAAAACATAAATTCTAACTTCTGGGAACCGGCAATTCCTTGCAATAGTAACCTCTGGTTCCCAGGTTGGGAACCGTAAGTTTCAAGGTCTGGGAACCGGCAGTTCCTTGCCATGGTAACCTTTGGTTCCCACGTTGGGAACCGCGAGCTCCAACCTTTTCTATCTGGGGTCTATGCCGGTGTAATTTCAAGGACAAATTCCATCCGAAAAGCTGCGTGCCCAAGGCCCAAGACTTATGAAATGGTTTCCAAACGCTGGGCGATGGGACATGCATGGGAAAAAGTTTGTAGACGTAGCTGACGCCGCATGCTGTGGTGAATTGCGGCTCCTGATGCCATCAGTGTTCACGATATCTCAATAAAGATCTTGATTCGATCTCTCGCAGAGCACAGCTGCCCACACCAGCGCAAGATTAAAAAAAAGGTATGCTGTGCGCCGTCTTGCTGTGTTCTCTGGCCCACATTGCTTCGGTTTTGATCTGTTTCGTCACGTTTCGTCTGTTAAGCTCTCCGGAGGCGAACACCATGGACAGGCCTCTGAGGCTTCCAAGGCGCCCGCCCGAGGGCCCGCTCGGCCCGCTGGGGCCGCTGGGGCCCGTGGCACCGTGGCTGTGCCACAGCAGCTCGGTCGCAGCGGAGGTGAAGCGAGATGAAACCGGAAAAAGCACGGCCACAGAACGCACAGAATTTCAAACTGATTCACAACATGTTAGGGCTCACTAAGTCAGTCTCATCGGTACGATTTATTATATATATATATCTATCTATCTGTCTGTCTATCTATCTATCTATCTACCCATATTTATATTTATTATATATATATATCTCTCTATCTCTCTCTCTCTCTCGTGTACATTGTCCAAGATACGCCCTTGTTTGCAAGCATAAGCTACAAGTCCTCTCAAAATTAGGCAAAAGTGTTAATGATATTCAGCAGTATTCAATGACATTCAATGATAAGCGCATGATCATTGTGGAGGGGAGCACTCCGCTTTACATCTGAGGTCACCAGTCAAAATGTTGATGTTATCGCCATTTTGTGAAGCTTATTTCATGTCACTCCCAGAATCCTGATATGCCTCGACTTTTCCAAAATGGATGGACAGAAAAGATCATTGGCTTGGGCGCGGTAGCACACAGACCCCATGAGACATGAGAAACGTTTTTTCTAACCACACAAATTCATCCCCAAAGTGGAACGCACAAGACGCGTCGGCAAACCACGGGCACACGGGTTAATTGAAACTTGCATCCTTGTCGGAATCCGGCATGAGTCACACACTTGCTCAGAAAGACATATCGAATTTAGATGCTGAAATGAGTCCTACGTGCAAGAAACAACAAACAAACGGCAGGATGAAACACATTCAAGAATAACATGCATACACGCATATATACCTACATACCTACATACCTACATACCTACATACCTACATACTTGCATACCTGCATACCTACATACCTGCATACCTACATATCTGCATACTTAAAGGCCTACATACCTACGTGCCTACATACCTACTTACCTATATATACGTACATACCTGCATGCCTACATACCTACATACCTACATACCAGGCATACCAGACATACAAGACATACGTACATACATGCATACATACATACATACATAGACACATAGGTAGACAGATAGATACATTACACTATATTACATTACACTACATTACATTACATGACATGACATGACATTACATACACGCATACATACACACATACATACATAATACATACATGCATACCTACATACCTACATACCTGTATACCTACACATCTACATACCTACACGCCGACATACCTACATACCTACGTACGTACATACCTACTTACCTTTACATATGTACATACCTGCATGCCTACATACCTACATAACATACATGCATGCATACATACATACATACATACATAGACACATACATAGACAGATAGATACATTACACTATATATTACGGTACATTACATGGCATTACATTACATTACATACATGCATACATACATACATGCATACATACATACATACATAGATACATAGATACATACATGCATACATACATACATACATAGATACATAGATACATACATACATACATACATGCATACATACATGCATGTACATACATACATACATACGTACCTACATACATACATGCATGCATACATACATACATACACCTACATACACCTACATACACATACATACACATACATACACATACTTACACATACATACACATACGTACACATACATACACATACATACACATACATACACATACATACACATACATACACATACATACATACATACATTCATACATATACACATACACATACACATACACATACACATACATACATACGTACCTACATGCCTGCATGCCTGCATGCCTACATACCTACATAACATACATACATACATACATGCATGCATGCATGCATACATACATACATACATACATAGACACATAGATAGACAGATAGATACATTACACTATATATTACGTTTCATTACACGGCATTACATTACATTACATTACATTCATGCATACATACATACATACATACGTACGTACATACATACATGCAAGAACATCTACTAGAGACTGAAGAAGGCGATGTACGGTCTCAGGTCATCACCACAAGACCATCTAGCAAGCATCAGGAGAGAACTTGGCTACATACAACTCACATCAGAGCCCGACGTGTACAAGCATCCAGAAGGAAAGGCCTACATCATGGTCTATGTCGACGGTCTACTCTTTGTAGGAGAAACAGAGGAGATCAACAACATCTTCAACAAGATCCAAGAAAAGATGTTGCTACGAGCAACTGGTGAAGCATCACCAGGCAACACATCTTCATTTTTGGGAAGAAGAATCACCAACAAACGAGATCATTTCGACATCAGTCTTGATGATGAGTACGTGGACAACATCAGTCTTGATTTCGGGATCTTCCACACGAGCGAGAGAGAGAGCGCGAGAGAGAGAGAGAGAGAGTGAGTGAAAGTTAGGTTGATGCATGGATGGCTTGACGGAAGGCTAGACAGATAGGTTGCTAGATAGATAGCTAGATGGCTACAGGTCATGGAAGCTTTGTCGGCAGAAAGTAGATCGTCGCGTCACCTCTCTTTGGCTACAAGTGGATGACAGCTAGCGCGCTTGATGCGAGATGGAGACATGGACCAGTGGATAGAGTGAGAGATAGATTGATAGGGTGGCAGACAGATGGGTTGCTCTGGACAGCAATTCTTCTGACACATTTTGCTAGCACACCTTGTTTTGTTGTGACTACCCCCGTTGCCATGCTGCACGTGGCCATGCCTCCTGAGAGGCTGCGTGCCACCTGCGTATATGGATCCTATGTTGGGCCTATGTTGATCCATGTTAGGCTCTTGGAGGCTATGTTGGACGCATATTCGGCCCATGTTGAGCTTATGTTAAGCCAAGAACAAAGTGTTCCTTTTACGCCTTTACCCAGCCCAAAAGGAACACGTCGTTTTTGGATCATGTCGGGACCATGTTGGGCGTATATGGATCCTATGTTGGGCCTATGTTGATCCATGTTAGGCTCTTGGAGGCTATGTTGGACCCATATTCGGCCCATGTTGAGCTTATGTTAAGCCAAGAACGGCGTGTTCCTTTTAAGAGCTCCAAGTTTGAAGGTGTTACGCGCAGTCGTGATGCTTGCAGGATTGCTGCAACTGGGGAACTCCAATTTTGAAGATGTTGTGCGCAGGAAGTTTGCTGAAGTAGGGCATCGGTTCCCCTCAGTCCGGTTTCTCGCCAGTTAAACGAACGAATAGATGGAGAAATGCAGTTAGGGCTACGCTGCAACTGGAGGATTTCAATGTTGCAGGTCTTACACGCAGGCAATTTGCTGTGCGCACGGGTTTTCATTATGAGAGCTGGCTTTCGTTCCCCCTTCTCAGGTTTCTGATTGAAGTGAAGAAACGTGTGAAAGATGACGACCCTTGGGCATATCAGTCAGTAGCTTGCTTCAGCGGTGGACTGCACGAAATGCCATGAGCATATCTAATATATTCCAACATATTTCAGCATGCTTCAGCTCTTCCAACAACTGAAGGAACCCTGCATTTCAGTGAAATAGATTTTGCCCGGGATCCATGCAACCAGTATTCACGGCTTCATCAAACTCTCTGAAATCGCTAGGGACTTTGGTATTGAATCAAGTCAGAAATGGTCAGAATATTTTAGTCAGAAGATTTTTTTATGACAGGGTCTTGGGCCTTTTGGAACATTCATGCCAGAACGTCGAAGGAAGGCTCCAAAGCAATTGGCAATCTGTCTTGTCTGAGTGGGATTTAACCAATCACGATAATTTGGCCTGGCACATTGCATTTCAGCTACGCCTTTTGCCGCTTCAGTTTCACCATTGCCGCCTATGCGTAATTGAAATCACAGAAGTCCAACATTCAAACCATGTCACGCAAAACCACGTCACTGATTGCATCTGATTCATCTGCGTGAGGATCATCCTGGCCTTACCTGGCCCAATGACACCCCAATGATGCCCCATGGCATCATGGCCCAGGATGATGCAGAAGAGTCTCCGCAAGACAAAGCTCCTGTGAAGGAGAGATGGCATGGTTGGCAGCGAGCTCAGATCGCCCAGTTCGAGGCTGTCGAGGCTGTCGAGGCTGTCCACAGCTTCGAAAACATGTTTCTTCAACGCTTTGAAAACAGTCTGTGAATTTTCTGTGGAATCTGTCCATTCTTTGTGCCTGCGTGCCTTGAGTGCTCTAAGGTTTGATGAATCAGGCCACTGGGAGATGCATCACTGTGCTGATCATCGATCCCCCTCAGACTGCATCTGCACTTTGCCCAGGTGACCGAGTCATGTGGTACAAAGAAAAAGGTGACAGATCTCAGTGGACCCGTGGCGAGACCATACAAGGTGGGCAGCTGGTTATTTTCTCAGATGGCAATGTTTCTGCATGTTACTATAGCTGCATAAACTGTATAACATATAGAACTGTTGACACACACACACACAGACACAGACACACACACACACACGCAGACATATGCATGTTTGAATATGCATATAATGATACATCGTATACATTGTCAAAGGGAGTTGGGAAGCAATCTTCCGAGTTACGGATGACTTTTACCTGATGAAGGGTGGTGTGAGACTTGACATCACATAACAATACACTCAATGAAGGGTGGTGTGAGACTTGACATCACATAAGAATACGCTCAATGAAAGGTGGTGTGAGACTTCACATCACATAACAATACACTCAATGAAGGGTGGTGTGAGACTTGACATCACATATATAAGAATACGCTCAATGAAAGGTGGTGTGAGACTTGACATCACATAAGAATACGGTCAATGAAGGGTGGTGTGAGACTTGACATCACATAAGAATACACGCAATGAAGGGTGGTGTGAGACTTGACATTAGATAAGAATACACTCAATGAAGGGTGGTGTGAGACTTGACATCACATAACAATACGCTCAGTGAAGGGTGGTGTGTAGATACGTGCAGGTTTGCGACGTGATGCTGCAAAATGCATTGTGATGGCTGCATGAACGTTGCATGGGGCTTTGTTTTCGGGAGGAAGCCGGAGCACGAAACCTTGTGTTTTTCCCTGTAAAGTGGCCGCGGCCGGTGATGAAAGGTACCTCGTGTGTGCGGCGGGTGCGGCTGGGGTCGTTTTGGTTCCTCCTCTGTGTTCTGCAGCGAGTGGTTGTTCCTGTGTGCGTAGTTCTTTTCGTTTCTTGAATCTGTGGTGGCAGATCGCATTGAAATGGCTGCATGATTGTTGTCATCTGGTGTTGCCACGTGCGTAGATACGTGCAGGTTTGCGACGTGATGCTGCAATGGCTGCATGATTGTTGTATATTGTTGTCCTCTGGTGCCGCCATGTGCGTAGATACGTGCAGGTTTGCGACGTGATGCTGCGAAACGCATTGTAATGGCTGCATGAATGTTGCATGGGCTTTGTTCTGGGGAGGAAGCCGGGGCACGAAACCTTGCGTTTTTCCGTGTAAAGTGGCCGCAGCCGGCGATGAAAGGTACCTCGTGTGTGCGGCGGGTGCGGCTGGCTCCTCTGTGTTCTGCAACGAGTGGTTGTTCCTGTGTGCGTAGTTCTTTCTATTCAGTGCAAAAACAATCCCTTTAACTTGATAGGAGTGGGTCACTGAAAGGACCAGAAAAACAGTGAAAGCTGCCATCGCCATAGCCAGTGCAAAGTGGAGTGAACTGGAAAGCTGACCTTTCCCTTTCAACTAAGCCATATCGTTCCCAAATTGACAGATTGCGACAACAGCGCAGCAAAATGTAAAAAACGACTTGGAGGTTCTTGGGTTGAGCCTCTTCCCATCATCACACTGTGGAAATTGGATGGAAGCAAACCCTGAACAACAGGTAATCACAACAATGCAGGTACGCCAGACTGGCCAAGTCTGGTATCACCGTCGATGGTAAGTGTCTTCGTTGGCAGAAGACTTACCATGACGCTCCTGCCCCTGATTGAACTAGGTATGAAATGAGAAACAAGCGGGTAGAAGTTTTACATCTCTTCACATGGTTCGCACACACATATATAATATATTTTTTTTACAAGTATATATATATATATGCACATAAATACAAATAAATGCACGCATGATTATTTCTTTCTTTCTTTCTTTCTTTCTTTCTTTCTTTCTTTCTTTCTTTCTGTCTCTCTCTCTCTCTCTCTGTCTCTCTCTCTCTCTCTCTGTCTCTGTCTCTCTCTCTCTGTCCCTTTCTCTTTCTCTTTCTCTTTCTCTTTCTCTTTCTCTTTCTATGTAGAATATATTTTGTTTGGTTGGGTTCGGATGTGATCGAACTGGAAGCCGTCGCGAATGCGAGAATGGGCGCGATGTGTGCGATGTGCCAAATTGCTCAGGCTTTTGGCGAGTCTTCAGCAGCTCCTGGGTGCCAAGTTGTGCGCGAAAAATTCCTTCGAATTTTGTCCGACGTGAACAATGGAAGTTGACTTACGAAATTGATGCGTGATGGAATTTGTGAACCATGACGAATCCTTCTGTAAACACAACGAACATTTATGTCAATTTAGGTCGGACGCTTGGAAGGATAAACATTGATTGAAATGCATTATTGTCTCAGTGGAAAGATTGTCGTGCAGTGAGGGAAACCAAAGCCAGGTTCCAGTACAAATCGCCGTTGTTACCCCCCTCAGCGTTCACATTTATTTTCTCAAAGCACAGATGATCTCGTGTACAACTGATCAGAGATACATGAGCAATCGGATAAAGGGGCATTCTGCATGCCACACCTTTGAGACATCCAATCCCAGATACCTGGCGGGCCACAATCTGAATCGGCATTTGTGGGTTCTCAACTTGGCTAAGGTTATGTCCTGCTGCTGAACCCACGAGCTTTCCGAGAGGGGGCAGCCCTGCTTGATGCAAAGAGCAGGCAGCGCGATATTGACAGAGAGAGGGTGCTGCAGGACAGAAGGCAAAGCACAGAGGTCCAATTCTGCTCTGAAATCTATATCTCATCCGATCTCATTCGTGACCAGTGTAACGTATGTCAGTATAAATGTCCACTGGTTGAAATTGCGCTTGGCAAGGCTTGGCCGATCAGCCCGAAGAGGCATCACCAGCCACCCTGGTCCTTTAAAATTGTGATGTCATCAGATCTGCCAAACCGATCCAAATCGTACATGAGATTCACAGTAGATCCACACCAGAGACGAAAGGAACGCGTGCTCTGCGTGCGCCGCGTACGTGTTCCACGGGAGGTTGCGCGTGGCTTGAAAGAGAGCTTCGACTTCTGCAGGACGAAGGGCAGTTCCTGGATGAACGTCCTGACACAGACGAACCGTCGTTTGTGATGTGCCTCAGTACTGATTCAGTCTGTTCTTCTCAGTGATGAACACAAAGGAACTGGAAAAACCTAAAAGGGACAAAACATGCAGAGCAGCGCGGTCAAGGAATTCAGATGAAGGTGGGCAAGGTTTGCAATCAGGTAGGATAGGATGCGCGGGCTCTATTATTGCATTTCTTTTTTCGGGAATGGAGGGTGCCATGTCAGTTGAGGCACTGGGTTGGAGAACTGTACCCAATTTGGGTCAAAGAGTCAGGAGCACAGAGTCCTCAGAGCGAGACTTTTGCACAGGGAAATGATTCAACAGGACTTCTTCGATCAGTATGGTATCAGTCCATTTCGAATAAGCGCCAAGATTCGATCTATTCGATCCATTTGATCGATTCGATATGCCAAAAAATTGGATTGGCGAGGCCAAAGATAGGGTCAGAGCTCTGGGAAGTGATTCACCAAGTAGCTTCGCATGCTCTCGCTACGCACATGGTCACATGATGCATGGCAATCATGATAAAACATGCAGTTGGTACATGGGTATCCGGCGGTTGCAAGACACTTTCTTCAGAAGTGCAACCAGCAACTCAGACTGAGACTGCGCCGCCCAAAATCTCAAAAACAAAGCAATTCAAATGCTTTTCGTTCGCCAGACCGCAAGCAATCTGATTTTGGAAATACACATGTTGGGTCTTTGATAGGAGTGAAAAGACCTTGCCGCGAACTGATGCCTGCGAGAGATATCCGACGGAACATATCAAGACGCCCTCTTGTACTTCTCGTTTTCCTTACAATCTCAAATTATCCACTAAGTTTGAACATGTTTGAACCTTTTTAATTTCTTTCATCTTTTTCATATTTGTTTCATTGCTTTGTCTCGGCTTTTCCGGTAGCACCGCGCGATTTCACGTTCGCAACTTGTTGCAGTCTCTCTCCTTGTCTCCGTGAAAACCTCAGAGGTCAAACAATGGCTTCAGCATCAGCTCAACAACTTTCAAAGGCACCTCTTGGCTTCAGATAACTGTTTTGTATATAATAATATACACATATTTTCTTTATATATATATATGTACATACATACACATATTTTCTATACATATATATATATATTTATGCACGTTTTGTTAAATATATGTTGTTCGTATTTTTTTGTCTTTTGTTTCGGATTTCGTGTTACCGGGTTCAGGCTTTGTGGACGCCGATGGCACAGAGATGTGCCTGGAACCCGTGCAGCGGCCGGCCAACTTCCAACCCAGGAGGACCGAAAACGAAACGAAAAGCGAAAGAAAAAAAGACACCGAACTAAAAAAAAACGACGACGTTTCAACGTTTTCGTGTTTCCCAAACTTTTCTAAAATTTGAGACATGTGTTTCTCCTCTTTTTTTGAAAACACGAGGCAACAGCACTTGGCAAAACATGTGGGTAACGAGAAGATCAGGACAACCAGTTAACTCAGTTGACTTAGTTTTCTTAGTTGGCTTAAGCCAAGGGAATGTGATAATTAATGATTTTTAACAATGATTTTGAATGATTTTCAGCTTGACAAATACGATGCTTGATTCTTTTCTTTCTGACATTTCCTCCGGCTGCTTTACTTCATCGGCAGTGTTCAGCATTCTTTCAATATCCTTCGACTAGCTTTGCATTTTTTGCTTGACAGTCTGACCCGCCCAAGCCCAAATCGTGTTTCTGATGCTCTGCTCAGGACACTTCTGAGCATGCGCACAACACATGTGGTTCAGCCGTTTCTATCGAAGATATGGGCTCATCGTCAGTTGATGTCAGCAGCTTCAGCCTCAGTGGGAACTAGCCTGACGAAGTACGTCCCTTGTGAAAGGCGATGGTGGAAAAAGGTCCAACACCACCTGAGCGCCGGTCAGCCAAATCCGCGTTTTCCCACAACAATTGACAATCTGTAACCGTACCCGGACCGTACCAATCTTCATTCCTTTACCCACCTTTCGGCCAACACCAAGGAGCTCAGTGTAAAGCAGCTCAGTTTGGCTGCCAACGAGCTCGATCCTCAGTTCAATTTCTTCGGCTCGCGTCGGAATACAAGGCTGTTCAAGCTCAACTCAGCACCGAAAAAACGAAAACAAAACACCTCGTTTCCATCTGTTGCGCCATGTTGCAGAATGGCCATGAGGTATGATATGTTATGAAAGTTATGCAGGTCACTGTTGGACTCATGGCACTGAGAGTCATAATGAAAGCCATGTTGGGTAGATGATGGTAGATGAGGGTAGATGATGGTAGATGATGGTAGATGATGGTAGATGATGGTAGATGATGGTAGATGTCATAGATGTCATGCGCTAGATGCATTGCAACATGATTGCGGCCTATGTCGCGGTGTCACGGTGTTGCTGTCCCCAAGGCTGTGGCTCTTTCACGGCACTCGCGAGAGCGCGGCTGAGTGCATCACGGAGAACGAATTCCAGGTGCGCATGGCTGGCAGCAACCGCGGCACGATGTTCGGCCCGGGCATCTACCTGGCCGACTCAGTTTCTCGACGCACAAGACTCACAAGACTCACGACTCACAAGACTCACAAGACTCAAGTGCTCTCAAAATCCGTCAATATCTAATATCCACTTATCCATGCCAGATCAGTCAGCTATTCAAGTTGCAGAGACATCGAGAAACCGTCATATAAATTGCGAAAAACGATAGATAGTTATGCAGTTATGCTCTATTGGAGCATATTGGAGCATTCTATGGAGGACTCTATGCAGCACTAATGTCATCCACAGATCTTCAAAAAGCAGATATCGTAGTGCACATTGCATCACATTGCCAGATGATGACCGCACACCATCACATATTCTTCGCATGTGCGCACGTTACGAAACATATCGAAGCACTCTTCGTTTCTTTTCCCTTTCCAAGGTTACCAAGAGTGACGCCGCTCGGCGATGCACACCGTGATCACTTCACTGTAAGCGGGCCAGATCAGTTCTTCAGTTTCTTTCAATCAAAGGAAATTTAGTTAGCAAATTTCGAGTTACCATGAGTTACCAACGATGGTCATGGTTAGCATTCACACCATCATGTCAACCACACCATCATTTCAACATCATCAAGTAGTTGGGAAGTGAAAGAGTCCGGGAGCGTGTAAATTCACGGGTGAAACCTTGCGTTCTTACGGGTATGGATGGTATGGTGGCTCCTGGGGTTGTGAAAGTAGGGTCTGTGTCTCCACGGTTCCGGGCCTCATTTGCCACATTTGCCACCGTCCTGCCATGCGGGATTGCAGCCGCTGCAGCCGCTGCAGCCGCTGCAGCCGCTGCAGCCGGTTGCAAAACGCATTGCGACAGCTCGAAGAGATGAATTGGGTCGAAACTGTAGGTGTGGCAGATAAGGGGCAGCTCAGAGAAGTAGCTGAGAGACGAGGTAAATCAGCGAAGAGGTGGCTCCATGAAGAAGTAGCCCAACAAAGAAGTAATAGCTGCTTAATAGCTCATTTATCCATCCATTCGTTCGTTCATTGATTCATTGGCTCATTGGTTTGTTGATTCCCTGGTTCATCCTGATTCGTTGGTTCATTGGTCAGTGGTTCGTTGAATTCGTTCATCGATTCGCTGTGGTTCATTGGTTCATTGTTTCAGTTATTCACTGATTCATTGAGTAATTGCTTCGTTGCTTCATTGGTTCATTGGTTCATTAAATTGCTGATTCATTGTTTCAGTGATTCATTGCTTCAACGACTTATTGGGTCATTGTTTCATTCCGTCAGTTGTGCATGGAATTTCTCATGTCATGTCATTGGCATCTTTACCACCATTTGCTCAGTCGCCAATGCGCTTCACAAGTGCAACATTTCATAGCTTCTGCATTTCAAA